AAGGTACGCGTAAATACTGCATGACGCTATTCGGTTTTCCGATATCTCTCTAATAACTGTGCCGGTCAGGCGCTGTGCACAATTTTAGAGGCCATAAATGGGCGTGCTATGTGCGCAAACTAGTGCCCGATTCCGAAAATTGGAACCACGAAACACAATAAAGAAAAAACAAAGTTTATAATCTGTATGATCTGTGGTACAATAGTTAATTTAACTACATATTAGGCTATACCGGGCAAATTCCAATTTAGGTAGCTTCTATTGTAATTTAAAAATTGTTCTTTATTTCTAGAAAATGTTAAATATGTCATAAACCTTACATTTTAGTCATATATTTCTCTTATAAAACTCACCTTTATTTTTCTCCTAGAATCCGAAAATCAATTAATATATAGGGTGTTCTGTTACAAAAAAGACAACTTTAATATGTAACTTTTTTGGGAGACACCCTGTAGAACTCTCAATATTTTTAAAAAGTGCTCTGAATTAACCTACATATGCTCACAAAATTTCATTTCAATACAAACTGTCGTTTTCCCTGGAACCTCAGCGGCGTATGAGGGGTGCCACCCTGTACAGTCTTTTGTTTGGGTGTATGCCTGTTGGACAATAAATGTATTATTTATTTATATTTTTGTTCTAACCATATTCACTATACGCTGGTGTGGTCGTCGATGCAATGGATTGTGCGGCAGTTCGGCGGAATGTCGATTTTTGGGCGAGCCAGCAAAAGAAAGATCACGAACACACAAACAAAATCAGCCCATAGTGAGTATGGGCACAGAACAGATACAAATTTGTATCTGTTCTGTGGTATGGGCCTTAATCTAACATTAAATTGCTTTTTTAACACCGAATGAACCTTTACCTGTTACGTTAGAACCTTTACTTTTTTTAAGGTAATATAAGAATTCAAAGGAAAAATTCCGTGGCAATATGAATTGTATCCTTACATCTACTGATCTGTCTCCCGCGTAGTAGCATATGTCGTCCACCATAGCTAATAGGGCTGCTAAAGCGTTAGGCACGTTGGGGGGCAACGACATTATGGCAATGGCTTGGGGCCACCTATTCTTATAAGGCACCAACATTTTCAGTTTGGCCGCGATGGCCAATTCGACGAATTCGCCAGGCGTTATCGGTTTCTGTTCGTATTCTTCTTGAAACTAGATAAATAAAAACAGCTCAATTCTTGTTTAGACAAAAACTTTGAAGTACAATAGTAGTCACGAATTCTTTTAAGGAGGACAGAAAGAGGTTTTGAAATAAAGTGACCAGATTTTGGTCCCTCCAATAGCTCCCCATACACCATAAAATCGGGTAAATACCATTATACCCGGTATATACCCAATCATATCCCCGTTTTTAATTTAAGGTATTCTAACAATTTTTAAAAACAATTTATTGTTAACTTAAAATTATTGACTTACTAATATCGCTATTAAAAAATAGGGTAAAAATTTAGGGTTGTAAGAAAAAATTTTAAAAAAATGGGGTGAGCTACCCTTATCACTACCACTTTAGGGTATAAAAAATAGATAACGATTTATTTTCAGACCTACTGAATATACATATAAAATTTCATCAAAATCGGTCAAGCCGTTTCAGAGGAGTGTGGTAACAAAAAATTAAAAAAAAACCTATTAAAAAATAGGGGTTGATGGTAAAAGGTTGAAAATTCAAGGTTGTATGTATTTTTAATGCCAAATCATAAAAAAAATAAAAATTTTGTCCCAAAAAAACAAATAAAAAAATTGGGGTGGGCCACCCTTATGACACGAGAATTTTATATATTAAATTTTCGGTTGTTCATTCTTAAAAAAACACAGACGAATGCCGAATCTATTAAAGATGAATGACTAAAACTTTCAGAAGTTTTAAAAGAAGGGAGCCAGGCCAAAACTGTTATAGAAAAAAAAAATCTAATCGGCAGGCCAAGCCTGCAGGCCGCGTCCGCGGGCTTGGCATTTCACCCAAAACGCTCGTATTTTGGTTGAAAGGCCAAGTCCGCAGGCCGGGTCCACAGTCGGATCGTCTGATCTATGGGGGGCTAATGGCGGACAAGTCTTGATAATAATTCTTTTCGTCTGAATAATGGACTGTCCGTCTGGTCACTTTATTTTAAAATTAGTTAACTACTCTCCAGTAATGCTGTAATTATGTGGTTTATTTAATATAAACAACGCGACCAAAAAAATAAATAAAATTATACAGGGTCGCTGTTATATATGGTTAAGGTCGATTATTAGCTAAAATATAGGAGGTACGGCAAAAAGTTAAATACAAAAGTTATAGGGTTTATAAATACCGTATGATCGAAAAAAAATGGCGTCCAGTTGGCTGGGAAATGACGATCGATGACATTTCCCATATAAATTTACATATAAAATGAGAGCGATCTTCATTTCATAGCCATCGTTGACGCCGTTTTTTCTCGATCATACAGTATCTATTAGCGGGTAAAAAAATTAAGTATACAAGGTCCGTCATAAAGTCGTGGCGCATCAAAGTTTCATTTTTTTAAATGGCCCCCCTGTATATTATTATTGCATATTTCGATTCTTCCTTCAATTCTAAGCAAAAATCGAAATAAACACAATAAGCGCGCTCGGTATTTCACGTCCGACCGCTCGGATCGATCTTGATCGTTCGTTTATGACATCCAGTAGGGGAAGTAAATCTGAACCGTTCGGTAAATAAAATCGGAGCAATCGGACGGTGATCTTTATGCTCGGAGAATTTTGACGGAGCAAACAGATTAATTTGAATTAGTGAGGTTAAATTTCCAAGTTGTTGTCAAGTTTTAAATTGTTTATTTTGTTGCTTCTTAATGCAAAACGACGTACAAAACTCAAAAAATAAATTATTGGTCCTTTTGTCTTTGAACGTTGAAAGATTTCTATTGGGAATTGGTATTTCAAACTTGTCACTTTTCCCTTAAGGCGGGTTCTCACTTGTCAGTTTCGCTGACGCAGTCTGACTGATTCATTATCAATGAAAAATAAAAATCAATGATTGTATTCACACGTTTCATGTTTTGCTACATTCAGTATTCAGTTGGTCCAAACATTTTAACGTAGTGATTTCGCAGACATGAAAATGGTTAAAACAAAATTGAAACCAGGTGTTCGCGAAGTTTGTTTACAATTAGCAAATGAATTACAGAATATTCTGGTGAATCAGAAAAGAAGAAAACTTTTTTTTTTAAAGCACATACGTCTACAAGAAACCGTTGACGTTCTATTTTAACAGAACGTCAACGGTTTCTTGTAGACGTATCTGCTCTATAAAAAAGCGTGTTCTCATAATAGTTTGAATTTAAATATTTTAAAGAGTTTTTTTTTCTTTATTCTTTGATATTTTTTTTTTGCTTCCGACGATAGACTTTCCGAAACGTTAAGCATTTTTTTCTTTGTTAAGCCAATTTGTATAACTGTAAACATAACTTCTGACAAGCAGTGTCCGTTTAGGTTTAACGCAGAAGTGTTTACAAAAAAATAACTATTTTATTTTGTAGATTTTCTTGCAGTGCAGTGGCGAAATACCCATAAAGGATTTTTTGGAGATATATATTAAAATAATTAATTAACTTTAACTTGTAAACTGAACAAATCACGAAAATGTAGTTCTCACGCTTCAGTTTCTATTCATTATTCGATAATGATCAGTCAAAAATGAAAAAAGTAGAACTGGTTTTCACTTTAACTGAAAGTACGAATTTACTGATCATTTAACATGAAAATGTGTTCTGACGTTCATTATTTGTTCAGTATCACTGAATCAGTCAGACTGCGTCAGCGAAACTGACAAGTGAGAACCCGCCTTTAGCGATCCAAACAATCCAAACCGTTCGGTAATTTCAGGTTACTCTGTGGGTTACTCCATCAAATCTGTGATCACGTGACAAAATATCCGTCGACATCTGGATGTGATAACCGAACCTATGAACCGAACTTAGCTAATGTACCTCAAACCAACCGTTTCCGAGTTATTGCATGGCTTTTGAAAATGTCACCTAAACAATTTGATTTAATTAATTTAGATATGTTCAGTTTAATTTAACGATACCATTCTACCGAAACTGCGATACTTAATAATATTTGACATTAGTTCTCAAGTTAGCATTTATAGATGTATAAAATGAGAGTACATATATCAAGTCTGGAAATTACAAAATTTACGTTTAACATTTCCATTCTTCAATTTATGTACCTACGTGTATTACGATTATATTGTTTAAAATTGAAAGAAGAATTGAAATATGCAATAATATACAGGGGGTTTCGTTTAAAAAAAAATAAAGTTTGATGTGACACAACTTTATGATCCATTACAACAGTATCACAGTTTCGGCAGAATGGCATCATTAAATCAAACCAAACACATCGAAATTAATTAAATCAAATTGTTTAAGTGGTATTTTCAAATGCCAATAAACGGTTGCTTTGAGTTACATTGTGTGTATTTCGATTTTTGCTTAGAATTGAAGGAAGAATTGAAATATGTAATAATATACAGAGGGTTCTATTTAAAAAATGAAACTTTGAAGTGTCACGACTTTATGACCGACCCTGTATACTGAAATTTTTGCGGTACCTCCTATATTTTACCAAATAATCGACCGTTTCCATACATAAAAGCGACCCTGTATTTATTTTCTGATGGAAAAAAGTGAACACGATAACAGTGAACAAGCATGTACCTGTTTCAAAGTTTCAACTAGTTTTTCGTTCGAACTGGTATTAAAATAATGGACTAGATCTCCTGCCCCCCTCGTGAACATACCATGACTGATACCGGGGTATCCGACCTGTTCGGCCCCTTTACTTAAGCACTCTTTCGTCCATCCCAATTCAATAACGAAGGGTAGGGAGGCTGCTAATATCTTGTTTCGAATTTCTTCCTCGTATTTGTCGCTTGCGGCCAAAGATACGTTCTTTTTGTATACGTTCCATATGGGATACACATCTGCAATTATGTATGAATTAAAACCACATAAATTTCCAGAAATATTTATTAAAAAGCAAATTAAAATTACAGGTTTTTCTCGATTAATTCCGCAAGACGACTAAGTAAACTTTCAATGACATCGAAAACAGTTAAGGAGGAATTTAAAATTCGCAATTTTTCGTCTTTATCTATGTTTACATCTACACCTAACACATTCACAGAGGTTTGAATAGATTCCTTATTTAATTTTTCTTGTTTTACATTATTTATTTCTAAATCATAATGAGCTCTAGAGAGTTCCAAACCTTTTCTTAAGGGTTTTAAATAAATTTCTTCGAGGATAGAAAAAAAATCCCAAATATTTGTTACATTTTTCTTATCCCTTAAGGCCAAGTATCTTAAAAGATTAAGACAAGAAATAATATGATCTGAATTATTGACTAAGTTTGTTTCCTCTTTCTCGCTTAAACAGCAAAACTTTTTTAAGATATAAAGTAACTTTTGCCCCCTAAAGTATTCATTAATATTGCATTCAGTTCTATTAAATTCTTCATTCAAAAGATTTTTGTAAAAAGTTATAATAAAACCTATGAGCCCTCCATGTGTTAAAATAGGCACTAAATGTGTTATAATCAGATAGACCCCTTTGATTTCAAATAATTTTAAGTAACTTTCAAATATTGACAGGGCAGATTTTCTTATAGTTTCGGATGAATTATAAACAATAACCTGAGATATTACTTCACAAAATTTACTGTGAACTTCATTATCCAATAACAAGTATGATAATTTTTGATTTTTTAAGCAAGTAAAAATATAGTGAGATAATTTTAAGCCTTTTTCGATTAAAATTGTGTTATTATCTTGATTTATTAGCTCTAAAGCTAAAGGTAGAAAACTGTCCAAGGTGTATAATGGACTGTATACCTTGGGAATTACATTTATACAAATTTCTTCACAGAACACTAAATACACTAAGTGCGCGACCCATAATTTTTCTAATTGAATAAGTGTATCATCTGCTTCATAATAATTGTTCAAAACTATTTCACTAAAAATAAATGGATCACAATTGAATGTAAGTACTTTCTGCACTATCTCTTCTACAAGAGGTCTTGAAATTGGTCTAATATTGTCAATCATTTCTACAGGAAAATATCCCAAAGGATTTGCTAGAAGTTTCATCAGATGCTTTGCCAGAAATATTTTATCCATGAAATTAATCTCTTCATTTGTAATGTAATTTATTATTTGTGTATAAAATATAATTACATTATTGTAAGCATAAATAATATTGGTTGCAGGCTCACTGTTATCCACTAAATGTCTTTCTTCATTTTCAAAAGTTTCATAATCAGGTTGTTCCATCTGCTCTAAATAATGATGTATTGCATCAAAAACTGAGCTGTAGTGATTATGTGAACCAGGGGGCAGATTGCATAAAACTTTGCACAATAATGAAAGCAATACAGTAAACTTTGATTCATCAGAAATTTTTATTTGCAGAGTTAAGCCGATTATGGTTTCTTCAGTAATTGAAGTGTTACTAATTATACATAACATATCTACACAACAATTAAACAATAGAATATTGTTTTCTTTATTTCTATTAGTTAGATATTCTCCTAATTCAGGAATAATAATAGCAGGATTATTCTTTACTATTTCATCATATTCCTGGTCTTTGAACAGCGTTAATACGTCTTTGATGTTGCCTTCTGATAGAGCAAGTTTGAGTTTTTGTAAAAATTCTCCGATGTATTGTTCGGTCATGGTTAAATCGAAGGAAATACGTAGATAGAGGAGTCTTAAGTACCTGGAAAGAAATGTTACCCCGTGATGTAACTTAAATTCTAACCTTTAGGTAATATAGTGGGGTATATTTCTAGAGAATTGTGCATACAGTAATAACACTTACTTTTTAAGGATATTCTTAACGGTGAAAACAAAGACACTAACGACATTCTAATAAAAATAAAATAATTTTTAACCCTAAATTATAATCAAAATAACTGCGCATGCCATGTTATTAAAAATAATGACAGCTTCTTCTTATTTTAATTCCCGTATTTTTAGACATCATATATTAATTGCAACTTCTAAGAAATCATAAGAGTTTTATATATGATTTATAGGCTAAAAACAAGATATGAGTTATACCATCATCCCGCAAGAACAAATATCCTCCAGATTAGCTCTAGCAGCAAAAGGGAGACGTTTTTTAATTTGTAGAATTTGTAGCTTACTTAAGACTGTAATTTGTCATTTTTAATATAAACATGATATAAAGTATAAACCACGGATGTATATATAATCCAATATCCAATATAAACATTTGGAATTGTAAAAGCATGTTTGCTGGAGTTTGTGATATGATTTCGATATTTTAATTGTATGTATGCAAATTTGTTCTCCTAAAGGGATATTATTGTTATTTAGTATACACTTAAACTTGTAAGTAATAAATTAAAGCAATGGAGCGTGATATAGAACAGTTGAATTCCGCTCTAAATTCTGTAAAAATTTTGCGGTCCAACGTTCGTTGCGTTTTTGAATCGGTGAGCAATGGTTTGCGTGCTGATCATGGCGAGGAAAGCAAAGAGAGCAAATATATTTTGGAATTGCAAGAGCTACTTACCATTGTGAATAATAACTTGAGAGATGTAGAAAACTCAGTAGGCAATCTAACACCCCCGCCTGGAGCTTTTAGTTTAGGAAATACGACTTACTTAAGTCAAGAAACGACACAGGAAAGACAGCAGTTATATGGACAATTAGTCAATAGTTACAAATGGACTGACAAAATAAGAGAATACAGTGCACTGGCTGGTAATATGTTAGCGGCAAATTCTTTTAATAAAACTTACAAAACGTACAGCACCACTAAAAGAAGGAAGACCCAAACTAGTAACCACAATGTTCCCCCAGAAATAATTGAAAATTTGATTACCAGTATCGATAGATTATTTACTGATGTGACTATTACTGCAAAGAGACCATTTGTTCCAAACCCACTAATACAAGTAGCTTTAGGACGAGTTTTAAGAGCAGTAATTGCTTTTAAAGGTAAGATATTTTGTCTGTTTTGAAAACACCTAATGTATTTTTACAGGGTTGATGATTGAGTGGGTGGTAGTTAAGGCATTATCCGAGGACAATGATTTATGGACCGAATCTCGTTACAAAGTTTTTCGGAAGGTAACTGAAAATTGTCACGCTGCTATGTGCCATTTTCATTCCCCAATGATGCCAGAATTAGCTGTAAGATCATTTATGCATTGGTTTCACAGTTACATTACTTTATTCAGTGCTCCCTGTAAAAGATGTTCAAAGCATTTGCAGAGTAATTTGCCCCCTACATGGAGAGATTTGAGATCTTTAGAACCATACCATGAAGAATGTAAATAGCAGTTTTAAGTAAAATTAATTTAAGGAATGTATGTTGTATCACTGTTAATAATACACACTTGCAGAAATTTACAACCTTTATTACTTATTTCATTTGTATCCTTTTCCTTTTATAATAGCATTGATTTGTATTATATGTAAATGTATTATAGTTTTAGAAGGGTTTTAGTTGTAAGTTGTGTTTTTGTTCTGTGTCAGTTTCTAAAGCTACAAATGAGCTACAAGAAACAACTAATAACAGCTGATAATCATTAATTGAATCAATTTGATTTTGCCACTTTTCCTGTAGTTTAAAAACTTGCTTTATGTATGTGGAAAAAGATTAGATAGTATCCTTGTTTAAATTCATATACAATGATAGTATCCTTGTAGATAATATTAATAAAAAAAATATTAAAAAAAGAAACGAGAAGAGTGTAAAATCATTGAAAATAAACCTAGATAACATCGTAACGGTGTTATAGTGTTATAGAAAAAATAAAATTTATTGTTTATCTTTCACTAAAAAATCCACTATCCACTACTCAAGATCGGATATCTCGTTCTCGTTATCTCGTAGAAGGTAGAAGTCACAGGTAGAAGTAAAAGTCGATAAGTTGACTTGCAAAGTCGGTACTGAGGACCATCTGAGGACTGAGGGCTGCAGTTCGGATTCCGCCTAAACAAAGTGGATTCCGTCCAGATGGCGGCAAAATTTATTATTTTATGGCGGGAAAAAGGAAAACACAACCTAAAAAAATAGTTGAAACAAAGTTGAAAGTTCTGAAAGTTGAAGTGCCGTAAAGTGTTTTTTTCCTTTGACAACAAATAATTTTGGGTTTTAAATAGTAATTTAAACTAAAATGCCGTCTCCTGTTGGAAATCGTACGCCACGCCGGGAAGGATCTCGAACTCCTAGGCGCCAACCAGAGACACCTTCTCGTGATGGAGCTCAAACACCAGCAAGACCAGGTTCTAGAACCCCTCGCCGGAGACAATCTGCAGCAGGAGAGGAAATTCCAGAAACTCCTTCAAAAACACCGAGGAAAAATACTCCAGCTAAAAGTGTGGTTTCATCAATTGATACACCTCTTAGGCCTGGCGTACCAAGACACGGCCTTATAGGAAATCAGGAAATTCCAGCATCTCCTGCGCCTAGTTTGGCCCCCACAAGTCCCGGAACTGGTTTCGCGATGAGTGAAATTGATTTAAGCTCTCCATTAAACTATGGTACGCCAAGTTCTCTAGGCTCCATAAGAACACCTCGATCTGGAATCAGGGGTACTCCAATTAGAATGCGACCAGACGTTCGGTCTGATAAAAGGATGCGACAAGTTAATGTTGGTGGTGATATACCACTTGATGCCATACAGGAAGTTAGCGAAACGGATTCTACAGCTCCTCATTTAGTTATTTGGGGTACTAATGTATCAGTTTCTCAATGCAAGGAAAAATTTAAACAGTTTATTTTGCGATTTATTGATACAAGTGCCGAAGATGATGAAAGGACTGATGATATGAATGTTAATGAACCTCTGTATTTACAGAAATTAGAAGAAATACATACCTTGGATGAACCTTTTTTGAATGTTAATTGTGTCCATATAGAAAGATATGACAAAAATTTGTACCGACAATTAGTCTGCTATCCACAAGAAGTGATTCCTGTTTTTGACATGACTGTGAATGAAATGTTTTATGATCGGTATCCTGCTGCTGTTTTGGAGCACCAGATCCAGGTCAGACCATTCAATGCTGAAAAGACAAAAAATATGCGTTCTCTCAACCCAGAAGATATAGATCAGTTGATTACTATTTCCGGTATGGTGATCAGGACTTCCAATATCATGCCTGAGATGCGAGAAGGTTTTTTCAAGTGCATTGTCTGTCAGTTTACAACGACTGTTGAAATTGATAGAGGTCGCATTACTGAGCCAACTTTGTGCTCTAGTTGTAACACCAATCATTGCTTTACGCTGGTTCACAACAGATCCCAATTTACTGATAAACAAATGATTAAATTACAAGAATGTCCAGATGATATGCCTGCAGGTCAGACACCTCACACAGTCGTACTCTTTGCCCATAATGATTTAGTGGATGCAGTTCAACCTGGTGATAGAGTTACTGTTACAGGAATTTATAGAGCCCAAGCAATACAAGTAAACCCTAGGATGAGAAATTTAAGATCGGTTTATAAAACTCACATAGATGTACTTCATTATAGAAAAATTGATCATAAGAGATTGTACGAAGAAGAAGATGGCAAAGGACATCGTTTCCCCCCTGAGCGTATTGAACTTCTGAATATCTTAGCTCAGAAGCCAGATATTTATGATAGGTTGGCTAGAGCTATTGCTCCATCGATTTACGAAAACGAAGATGTTAAGAAGGGTATTTTACTTCAACTTTTCGGCGGTACCAAGAAAACCTTCACTACATCAGGCAGGACAAACTTCAGGTCAGAAGTTAACATTCTACTATGCGGCGATCCGGGTACATCTAAATCCCAGTTGCTTCAATATGTCTACAATTTGGTACCTAGAAGCCAATACACATCGGGTAAAGGATCGTCAGCTGTAGGTTTGACAGCTTATATAACAAAGGACCCAGAAACAAGACAATTAGTGCTGCAAACTGGTGCTTTGGTACTGGCTGATAATGGCATTTGTTGTATAGATGAGTTCGACAAGATGAATGACTCTACAAGAAGTGTTCTACACGAAGTAATGGAACAACAGACCTTAAGTATTGCAAAAGCTGGCATAATTTGTCAGTTGAACGCCAGAACATCTATTTTGGCCGCGGCCAATCCGAGCGAGTCGCAATGGAACAATAAAAAAACCATCATAGAAAATGTCCAGTTGCCCCACACCCTGCTGTCTAGATTTGATTTGATATTCTTGCTTTTGGACCCACAAAACGAAGTTTTTGATAGAAGACTAGCAGAACATCTGGTTTCATTATATTACAAAACTAGAACTGAAGAGGACGATGAAATTTTGAATATGTCCATTTTGAGAGACTACATTTCTTATGCTAAAGAACACATCCATCCCAAACTGAGTGAAGAAGCCTCCCAGCGCCTGATCAAAGCTTACGTCGATATGCGCAAAGTGGGATCAGGAAGAGGTCAGATATCTGCCTACCCTCGCCAGCTTGAATCGTTGATAAGGTTGTCAGAAGCTCACGCTAAAGTGAGATTTAGTCAAACTGTCGAAATTGACGATGTAGAAGAAGCTTACAGGTTACACAGAGAAGCCCTAAAACAGTCCGCCACAGATCCACTGTCTGGCAAAATTGATGTTGGTATTTTAGCCACCGGTCTCAGCAGTGCTGCTCGCAAGCGGCGCTTAGAGCTATGCCAGAGCCTCAAGAAAGTGATAGAAACCAAGGGCAAAGTGCCTACTATCAATTACCAGAAGCTATTTGAAGAGTTGAAAAATCAGTCACAATTGGTAAGAGTTCATTGTTTTTGTATTATATCCCATTTTTTCTCATTATTTTCACTTAATTTTAGATGGTGACAAGAGAACAGTATGAAGATGCCCTCAAGGATTTGCAAGATGATGGTTACATAGTTGTAATGGGCAAGACGTCTATTAGAGTGTGTCATAATAGAGACTAAAGCTTTGTGTTACCCTATTACTACCAAGTGTGCGTTTACATGCATCCGTCATGTGTCACCCATTGATGTTTTTAGGTACATAATTTTACTGGTTTATTTCAAAAACGATATTTTATACCTCAACCTGATTGGAGTGACGGAACGACGCAAAACCTTAGATTTTATGAACTTCGTAGATATGTAAATTCTTACGCATTTCTTTTTTAAAAATAATTATTAAATTATTAATAATAATACACAGACTGTAGAGGTCAAGTTTGATTAATTAAAAAATCAGTTGTTTGTGTATCCTTTAAAACTTTTCAACAATAAAATGTTTCTTTTTTATTTTGTTATTATTAGGTTTTAAGAGTAGCATTTTTATATGAAGAGATATCGAATTACTATTAACTCCGCCACAAAATATTTTTGATATTTTTATTTTCAATGTTCAAAATTTTTAAGTCAATTTAATTACTGTTAACGGATTTCATGTTCCTCTATCAGTTATTTATTAATGGTAATTAAACGCCAAGCTAATCAAATATATTCATAAACTATATAATAATAAATCACAAGATTATTTATATAAAATATTTTTTTATGAAGTAGTATATTTAAACAAATGTGTTTAGTTTTGTTTAATTGATATTCTTTTCATAATTTCAATTTATTGATGATAAAATATTTTTTGAGTAAGGTAATGTGTTTTTTAAATCAAGTTTCTATTAACATATGTAGATTAAACTTGACTGTAGTATGCACTTTACAACAAAGACGTTTATTATTATTATTATAACATATGTATTACTAAATTTTAATATTATTTCGCCTAATAACATATTAGTGAATTTTAATTTACTTATTTCCTCTAATTAACACAATACATACATATAAGATTAAATAGTATATAAGTGTTTATAAACCATTTAAATACCATTTTATTACTATCTCAATACAATGTATTGAATAGTGAATTTTTGCTTTAGGCATGCACTACGAGGTAATAATAATATTAAAAAGCGTGAGCCCGCAGAAGGCGGATTTTTTTCGGTATTGGGCCCAATTTTCGCCTAGAAATCGTATAAAATCGTTAAAAAACAGCCCTCTCTATGAAAATATGATTTATTTAAAATTAAACTCCATTCTTCTATTTCTTTCACAAAACTTAGCAATAACATGGTTATAAAAATCTTCCTTTTGTTTCAATGAGAATAGTATGTTTTTTTCAATCGACATTAGCCCCAGCGATGACAATCTATCTTCACCCATCGTATTGCGTACATAAGTTTTAATCCGCTTCAAAGCCGGGACACTTCTTTCGAAAGAGGCGGAAGTAGATGGTATGGTCATGATCAAACTGTACAGTTTATATACTTCAGGCATTATTATGTTATACTCGTCTTGTCCTAGTTCCTCCAAATGCTCGGAAATCTTATTAGATTTGAGGATTTTAGTTTTATATAATACATTTAATTCTGACTTAAGGCGGACAAAATCAAAATGCTTTGGATAAACTAATTTCAGATCGTTTAGCAGATTGTCAGGGAAACACCTAGCGAATTCTTCAAATTTTGATTGCTCCGCAAGTTGTAAGAAATTTAATTCCTTAAGATCTTGAAACCTGTCGTTAATTTGTACAATTAAACAATCTACCACCTCAAAAAATAACTTTCGATATGAGTCTTTTAATTCATCATCATCGTGGTTCCTACGCCGCTTTCGCCTTACAGTGTCGACTTTTCTATTTTCACATGAATATTTCCACAAATGTTCAAAAAAGTTACACCTGGTATTGTTTAAAAAACATTTTAGGGTTTCTATCTGATTTTTACAAGCTGGTATATCTGTTTGCTTATTTTGTAGTACATTAAAGGTAATTTCTGTATGAGGAAATACTTCAAAAAACAGTCTCAGAAGAAAAACAAACTCAAAATCTTTTAGTGTTGCTAAATATCCTACAGACTCTCGTAATGTTATTTGATCCCAATTGTTTGCATCATCATCCAAAATATGTTCAAATAAACTTATCAAATCTTCGTAATGTTCGAATACGGTTTCCACTAAACGAGCAGAGTAACTCCAACGAGTTGGAGCAGCTTTAGGTAGTCGTTTTTTAACCACAGTATCCAACAAATTGGTTCGTTTAGTGGATGTACTAAAAAATGCTACAAGTCCATTTAGGGTAGAAAAAAATATTTTACATTGTTTGATATATGAGACCGACTGAGACAACACCAAATTCAGTCTATGACTGTAACAATGTATGAAAAGAGCTTCAGGAACTTCATTCTTCAACTTAGCCTGTACTCCGTTAAGATGTCCTGACATAACAGCTGCTCCATCATATGTTTGCGCAATCAGTTTTTCCAAACAGCCGAACTCTTTTAAAATATCCACTGCTAATTTTGAGATGGCATTTGCTGTTCTATCAGCGCTAACGTCGAAAAACCCAATAAAAGTCTCGGCACAGTGATTTTTATGAATATATCTGTAAAAAACAAAAACGCTAGATAAAACGAGTATTTAAAGTGACAGGTTTCTTACCTAAAAACGACTGACAGCTGAGAGAAATTAGATACATCGGATGACTCGTCCATTGAAATCGCAACAAAAGTGGCTTCAATAATTCGATTTTTTATTTCGATTGAAATAGTATCTCCAATGCACTGAATCAGGTCGTTTTGAATGTTACTAGACAAACCCGTAAAGACTGTTGCATTTTCCAAGTGATTGTATAACTTTTCGTCAAATTCAGCAATTGTGTGAATCATTTCTATATAATTGCCCCGGTTGCATGAGCTGGAACTTTCATCGTGACCCCGAAATCCAATCTCTTGCTTTCCAAGCAAACATACAGTTGCAATTAATCGCTTTAGCACCTCCCTATTATTTTTCACCTTCTCGTTGTGTTTTGAAATTGCTAGTTCTTGTGCTTTACTTAAACTGGTATCCATACGGGTTGAGCTAAATGACTTTAATTTTAACCATGCCAGTAAATGCGATTCAGAACTTGAATGACGTTGTACTGCGGTATGTAAATTATTCAAATCTGAATATCCTTTATTGAAAGAATTCCAGGCTGATGTTTTATCCGAAAACAAAATGCATGGCCAACAGAATAACTTCTGAAAGTGCAAACTTCCGCACATCCAGGGATATTTACCATAATTTTCAGGATTAAATGTTCGGATAACGCCGGATTTCTTGATAGTACTTTTCAGGTTGTCTAGTTTTGGTGTAGGTCTTCCATCTGTAGTGATTCTTATTTTCTCCCCAAAACTCAATGACGAAAATGTTTGTTTTGATAATTTGTAAACTATGTCTGTATTGGCAATATTGGCATCATCGTTTTCGTTCAGCATGATTAATAAATAAACGTATTCTCCTATCAGTTCTATCCCGCAACACTTTATTCTATACTGTCCATAAAACTATTCAGAAGTCCAAAACTCGAAACTCGAAATAAAATCAACACTATTCGTCAGCGAAACAGAGACGCAAAAAACTTTTCCGATCTGTAACCTACGACTAAAACAAAACAATTATTATGCGAGCCACAAATGCGAGCATGCATAATGTTTCCGGCATGCATTTGCCGGGAGAGCAGCGGTCGAATCCTGCCGAATCGATGTGTGGGTCAGTGACCACGACGCGACGCGCGTATACGTGTATCCGTTGTGATTGAATAATATGATTGAATGCACATAATAATCATGCATGCACAGGCATGCTGTAATTTAAAATTAAGTTTTTCCCTATTTTGATATTATGGGATTATGTGGCACAATATATTATTTACCTATATGAATAGAAGATATTGATAATAAATAATAGATTTTTTACGTATTCCTAGGCATGCAGTGCATGCATTGCATTCTGGACGATTCACCCCTGCAATACATATGGCTTAATGAATACATATTAAATTTAAATATATTTTAGTAAAACATTACATATGACCCCTCTATTTACTGCAGCCCGCACAGCCACGCACGGCGCTTTTAAAATTATTTCATATCGATTATCACATGGTTACCACAGAGTGATTACCAGATTATGCCACCCGTAATACACCCGTAACTATTGGTGGGTTCATACAGCCAAATAAAATAAAATAAAATAAGAAAGTTGGTTATATGGGATACCGTACATGCGTTCATACAGCCAAATAAAATAAGAAGTCTTTTGGTGGGTTCATACAGCCAAATAAAATAAAATAAGAATAAAATAAAATAAAATAAGAAAGTTGGTTATATGGGATACCGTACATGCGTTCATACAGCCAAATAAAATAACAAAAAATAAGAAGTCTTTATCTTTTAACTTCTTGTTTTATTTTATGTGAAAACGGCTTTGCGCACGCTTAATTCTAACCTACAAATATTTTCAGTTTGGATTTAATTTATTTTATAATTTCACATAAGTAAAATGTATAATATAGTAGGCAACGAATAAATAAATATACTAAGGTTAAACCAGGTTAAACTATTGTAAAGTGTTAAATGGTTTGCTTATATCGAAAATTATACCATGAAACATTTTACAAACAAATAAAACAACAGATTAAAAAGTATAATATTTATTATAGTACCAGATTTAAGAACACATAACAAATATCGTTGGAATACAAGAGAAAGTGACGTCCATTAGAAACAATGTTTTATTTACGTGTATTTTTTACATATGGACTTGAACAATTGTGTAATATCACATTGTGGAGTTTATGTACAAAAATATGGAGTTGATCAATTTTTTTTGTAAAAATATATGGCGTTGTAAATATTACATTGTTAAAAAATAAAATTCACGAACATTTGGACTTGGTTAGGTTACCTCACAAGACGAGACAGTGGGAGAGAGAAACGATTTTAGAAAAAGACAGAGCGGGTCGCACTTTAAAGGGACAATTTCTATGAATTTTGATGCAATTACAATATTGCCAAGTATAAAACAGTTAAATGAATAGAGTGAAATATATTGTGATGTAAAACCTGGTTATAATAAATAAATAAACGTATTGCCAGCAATAAAACGATTAAATTTTTATTTTCATTATTTATGTAAAAGTAATATTAAAAAAAAATTGTAAAATGTATATTTTTCGTGTTAGTAATTATTCTATGGGTTATTATGATATAATGGGTAATATAATCTAATAACCCATAAAATATTACTAACCGGAAAAAAATCATACATTATAATATTGCTGTTAATAAGCCAAGAAAATGTAAATTTAATCGTCTTATTACAGGCAATAACTACCTGTATCCTAAATTGAGGTATAAATTGTATGGGACAGCAACCTTCTATTTACCGCTCCACCCCCCACCTTGTCAATTCATTTTGACAGTCTACATTTCATGCATGATTTCATCAATTTCATGTACATTTGGGCAGTACTGGCGGGTACGTCTTCGTGTGTTTAACGTTTTAAAGATATTTTCTTAAATTTTCGCTGTGTTATTTCTAAGTTTATTGTTATTATACTGAATAGTGAGTGCTAAGATGGAGCGGAAGACAAAGTCAGGACATAGCTGCATTTACAGTGAATGTAAAAATATCTCGACAGTGAACAAAAACAAACGTTTTTTAGGGTACCAAAAGACGATAACAGGCAAGTAATATTAATTTAAAAGTAGAATCTACTAGCATAATGGTAGAATTAAATAATAGAATTTTATTCAAACACTCATCACAGTTGCTGTTTTTGGTTGTTTTTTTTCTAACCTAACAATTAATAGAACTTATAATTTATAACATTTTGCATGCATACTTCATCATGATTAAAATGTATTATGATTTACTGTATTTCTATATTTTGATTCTAATGTTCCATCTACCATATATGATCTGAAAAAACAGTGTCAAGTTGGCTTGGGAAAACGATTGATGTCATTTACCATAAGATTTTACATATTAAATATCAGCAATTTTTGTTCCAAACCATTTCTGACGCAAATTTTCCTATTGTATGGTATTTTTAGTAAAGATAGTTTAGAGTCTAGTTTTACAATGGCAATAATATTTTGTTTATATGCATAGGTCCTCTAAGATGGCTTGAACTTTGTGGACGTCAGGATTTACTACTAAAACCAAATTTTACTGGAATTAAAGCCTATAATTCTTACATGGTATGCAGTGATCATTTTGATAACATGGAATACAACAATCCAATAGAAAGGACAAGTTTATTACCTACTACCCAGAACCAAGACGTTTCGTGATATTGGACCTTCCTTTAATGGTAAAGTCTGCATGTGTTAATGTACAAATCTGCTAAGATAGGGTTTTAATTTTTATTTTATTTTTACATATTTTACGTTATATTTTACGTTATATTTAAAGTTACCATTAAAAAAAGATAATATTGCATTATTTTGCAGTATGTTCTAGTTAATTATTTTGCAGTATGTTCTAGTTAATTTTTGAATATATTTTTTTGAATTTTAAATATATATATACCGTATGATCGAAAAACAGCGTCTTGGCTTGCGGAAATGAACATGATGCCATTCCCTATATAATTTTCCATATAAAATGACAGCGACCTTCATTTCTTAGCCATCGCTGACGCCGTTTTTCTCGATCATATTGTATTTACTTTAACAACTTATAAAGTAAAAAACCTGTATTTAATTACTATTTGTAGGTAGCAATATTTAATAACAATTTATTTCAAATATAATTTCGAAAATGAAATTTTCTTTTTAGCTGAAAATATTGTATACACACTCACGCATATAATGTTGCATAAAATATAAAACTTCCTAAGTCATTCTAATTCCCAATATAATTTTATATATAATTTAATAATTATCTCCATTTTCAATCTCTGATGCTATTTTTCGATTGTATTGTACTGTATCATCGAAAAAAACGGCATCAGTTGGCTTGAACATGACGATCAATGACATTTCCCAAATTATTTTACAATCTCTGTCATGCTCTCTGTATTTCTGGCACCGTTTTCTTTTCGATAATATTGTACAATATGATCTAAAAAACAGCGTCACAGATGGCTGGGAAATGAAGATCGCTGTGATTTTGTATCTAAAATTATATGGAACTAGTTGAAGCCCTGGCGCATCCGCCACGACATCAAAGAAAAAAAGTACTTTTATTTTTAATTAAATGAAAAACAAAAAATCAGGCGACGACAGTTTTAGAAGAGCCAATTAGCTACCTTTAGTAAAAAAAAGCAATTTTCTAGAGCAGTAATTACTTCAGTAGAGACGACACAGATAAACATTAGCATTTTATATATGTAGATGTCATCGATCGTCATCTTTAAAGGCAACGCTGTGTTTTCTTTACCGTTACATATTTTTGGAATTCCCTTATGAACAAAAATATAGTTCTATTCTTACTAGTTTTTTATATGGTTTTCTGGGATGCGGAGACTTATCAAGAGTCAAGAATAAACATTTCTGAGTAATTGATTTCCCTAAGTTTTTTCGCACATAATGTCCAATCATGAACATACTGTATACTGTACAAAAATAAATTGTTGTTCGAATTTAGAGTGAAAAAATATTTTTACTTTCTAAAACATTCTTCTATAACTGAGAATTAAAATTCTATGTTACTTAATTACTTATATTATGTAATTTTTAAAATGGTGATCTAACTAGTTATATTAAAATTAATAACTTATTATTATTTTACAGAAACAGAAGCAAATAATGCGTCGCTTCCAACAGAGGATGTTTTATTTCAAGAAAACCTAAATAGAATGGAACCTGTTCAACTTTTAAGTATTCACCCTTCCACAAGTGCTTTCAGTAGTCCACCCACGGAAGAAAATGTTGAAGCCTCAACTAGCAGATCAGATTTGCTGTCTACACATTTTTTATACCATGTTTTATTGTGTTAGTTTAAATAAAACTTAATGATTATGATTTTATAGTTTAATTAAAAAAAATAGACTGCAAATTTATATTTTTGAACTTATACCAAAGACTACAGTAGTAGTCTTTGCTTATACATAAATTTGTTTTCTAATAACATATTAACTTTTTTTTTAAATAAAAGACTTCTATAAAACTGAGACATTTATTGTTGTAATATTTGCAAATTATGTGATATTTATAAAAATACACTGGTGCATATTGATTGAGTCTTCTTTTTTTGATCCTTGTTTTAGTTACTTAACAAGAAACAACCTTCCGTTAACAAAAATCGTAAACTTATATTTTGGTGATAAAAATAGACAAAACTATAAATTTTATAGTATAGATACCCTCAGCTCTTTACTAATTTAATTGGATTTTGATGTTCTGCATGTCCTACAAATAATATTTTACTTTCATTAATAATAACAAAACATTTCATATTCATATTGGTGATACCTGTATATGGAACAACTTCTTATACAAAATTTCTCCTTAGCTTAATATGCACTCACTTTTTAAATGTATTTCTTTCACTAGAAAATATCCCGTTTTCGATATTTCCGATATTTCCTAGAAATATATTGTTTTGCCATTTCAACAGTGGAAATCATAAGAATTCAAACATATCTGCAAAATAATTTCTTAGAAAATACTAGTTTGTATATTTATGTTAAGAATCTGTTACCTTTTAATGAATTTGTTATTTCACATTAGATAAATACTTGATAAATATAGACACTTTTCTGCACAAATACTAATTTAAACAAAGTCTATAAACAATTTGCTGTTTTTATTTTCACCTTCCAACAATAGAAACTGTTCTTAGCATTTTAAATGGTAACTAACCCAATCGAATCACACTATGCTCAGCAATTAAAAATTTCATTCTTTATTTAAATAAAAAATACAATAAAATATCAAATAAACACTACAAACTTCTGCAAAAATGTAGGTTAAAAACTCCTGACCTACTAACCTAGTTCAACCTTGTCAAGTATTTGCAATGTTGCCATGTTTTACACAATAACTAAAAATATAGGTATTATATCAAAATGTACACAAAAATATTAGAAATATTGGATTAAATATTCTTCATAATAAGTAATACCTAAGTAATATTAAAATATTTAAAATATTTATCATATTCCATCAAGAATATACGTTCATTATATATAGTGTGCATAATTTATAATGAAATTTTGTTCAATTAGAATAAGTATGGCAATATCTGAAATCTCCTCGAAGTCGCACTTTAAAGGGACGAGGTCACTGAGAGCCGAAGCCAAAAACGTTTCATCTTTTGCCGGCTGTCCTGTCTTTGTAGTCTTTGGTTTGGATTTAATTTATTTTATAATTTCACATAAGTAAAATGTATAATATAGTAGGCAACGAATAAATAAATATACTATAAATAGTAAAATAACTATAAACAATCGTAAAAGTTAACTTTTATCCAGCCTCATCGTACTGCGCATGAGCAAATATATATTTCTTATTTTATTTTATGGACGCACACAAATAAGAATTCCTTATTTCTTATTTTATTTTATTCTTATTTTATTTTATTTGGCTGTATGAACCCACCATAACAAAACAATAACGATAAAACACTTAAAGAACTATTTAAAAACTTATTTACAACTATTTATCTAAAAGGGATTAGGTTAGGTTAATTTATTTTAAAAGATTACCGTATCTGATTGTTTCTGTCCTCTTCGCACAGGTCTCGGTTTATACAGGGTGACAATTTGAAAACGGACAGTATTTAATATTACCTTTACCGATGATAGTATCACAGATTATACAGATTATAATCTTTGTTTTTTCTTTATTGTTTTCACTTGGTTCCAATTTTTCGGAATCGGGCACTAGTTAGGTGACTAGTTTGCGCACATAGCACGCCCACTTATGGCCTCTAAAATTGTGCACAGCGCCTGACCGGCACAGTTATTAGAGAGATATCGGAAAACCGAATAGCGTCATCCAGTATTTACGCGTACCTTATGGTTACGATATGCGCGAGTCAATTTTTAACGCAACACCCGCTAATAACGTTTTACCGCCTGACGTAATTTGCGGATCAATTACACCAAGCGCTCTTTCTAAATAACCTCTGATAACGTTTAAAAATTGCTTAAATGGGCATGTGTTGCGGGTATTTGACAACCGGAGCCGGCCGGCGAGATCTTTTATTTTAAGTTATGTTTGAATTGTTTTGAATTATTGCTTTAGTTTTATTAGGTAATTTGATATTTAAGTAGCTGGAATTAGTTTTAATTAAATAAATATGGCCCAAAATATGTAGATTCCACCTCTTCCAATACTAAAGAACCTATAAAGAGTCTTAGGTTTACAGCAGATGACGACTTAGTCCTTCTAAGAGAATTTGTTGCCTGTTGCCCTAAACCCACTGGCAGACGTTGAACAATAAAGCACTGGAAATAAGCACTTTAGCCCTTTAGTTTTAAAATACCTATTAAACAAAACAATTTCAAAGTTTCAAATTCAAGGTTAGGTTAAGTTTAAATAGCGGACGCGACGCGATCAGAATTCTTTCCGATCCGATAACTATAAATGAAGAGAGTTAATACCACCTCACGTAAAGGAAATAACACCTGGCCTTGTTAACGTCCATGTACGCTATTCGGTTTAGCGATATCTCTCTATTACGCTGTTTATTGTTATTTTAGGCGAGTTTACTTTTGCGCACAGGAAATTTGACTCGTTTGCACATCGTCATAAAAAACAATTTTCGTACCACGAATTAGGGACAAGATTTTTATCTGTATATTATAGGATACCTAATCTGTGATAGTATGAAAATTTGGCGAAATACGTCAACTTACATATCAAGGGGGACAATTTTTGAGGCATTTGTTGTCGTGTTACTTTCAACCCTTTGATCCCCAGGGCACCTACCCCTAAAATTTTAAATGGCAAGCCCTATTTCTTTTACCCTTTGTTCCTTATAAAATTCTCAAAAAAAAATAATGCAGTTTATGTAGAAATTCTATAAGAAACACAAATATGGTAAAAGAAATATAAGGAGTTACTATTTAAAACCACAGGGAGTAGGTCTCCCTGAAATCAAGGGGTTGGAAAGCAACACTAACAAATGCCTCAAAATGTTCCCTTGATACGCTCTAAATTTGTTTCGCCAAATTTTCATACTATCATCGATCGGTAGAGGCAATATTAAATACTGTTCGTTTTCAAATTGTCAGAGAGCCTAGAATATTCCGGTTTTTCTTAGCCGCTGTTCTTGGTCTTTCTGGCGAATTCCTGAGTAAGAATGGGAGCAGGGCATATTGGTCCGAGGGCCCGAGTCCCAACAATATTATACTTGTCTTAGCTTATGAAAAAAATGCATTGGGATTTGCAACAATAATGACAATAAAAAGCAAATATAAGTGGATAAGACGAATTTTGCTGCAGTAAAGTAATTTCTAGTGAATTTTTTATAGGAATAGGCGACTTTTTGCTGTAGTTTATGATTACGTTTATGTAGATTTCACTATTAATATATGGAGTGGTCAAATTAAAATGAATCAAGTCTAATTTTCTACTATTTTAAGAAAATCGTCTAAGAAAAAAATAATATTCTATAAACATTATATATACGAGCCCTAACAACTATATGTTGGGACAAGGTCTTTTTTTGCAATAAAAGTAGTAATTTGTTAAAACAACTCAATTTATATTTTGTTTATTATTATAAATTCAAACATTACAATATGATCTAGACAATTTTACTATATTTTTATAACTTTGCAAACAAATCACTTTTGATAATAGGTTATTTTGCCAAAATCAAGCCCAATTTGCTGACAACTATATCGTGGGCGTACAGCGAAAATCCAGTAAGTCACATTTTTGGTTGAATCGGATTAAACACACCACTATGTCCAGTTTTTCACGGTCTTTAACATGAAAAACCCATTAAGTCCAATTTCGGCATCCTTATATTATATTATATTATAAGGATGCCAAAAAACTTCCAGACACCAACTTTCATCCAAATATTGACGTTACTTCAGAAATTATTCGGAAAAAATCCAAATAAAAATGAAACTTCTATACTCTGTATCTCCAAAACTAATTATTTTCGGACATACATTTATACGAACTTTTTTATTTATTTCTATGTGCAGAATATGTTGACAAAGTTTCCGGAATACAGTTCGGACCACCCAGTATATAAAAACTAGCAGACCCAGCCACGCGTTACTGTGGCTAAGGTCAGTGATGGGCAAGTACCCGGTGTTTTGTAATTTGGGTAAATACCCAAGTTTTTTCACCTGATATATACACAAAAGATCAATAAATGGTACCTATATTGAATTTGGGCAAATACCATTATACCCGGTATATGCCAATCATACCCACGTTTTTAGTTTAAGGTATTCTAACAATTTTTAAAAACAATTTGTTGTTAAATTAAAATTATTGAATTACTAATATCGCTATTCAAAATAGGCGTTGATAGTAGAAGGGTGAAAATTTAGCGTTGTATATAATACCTATATATTTTTTAATGCAAAATCATAAAAAATTAAAATAAAAAATTTTGTCCAGGAAATAAAAAAAAAATGGAGAATAGGGTGGCCCTATTATCATATTCACTGATTATACATATAAAATTTCATCAAAATCAGTCAAGCTGTTTCAGAGGAGTAAGGTAACAAAAAATAAAAAAAAACTATTAAAAAATAAGGGTTAAAGGTAGAAAGGTAAAAATTTAGGGTTGTATGTATTTTTTAATACCAAATCATAAAAAAATCAAAAAAATTTTGTCCAAAAAATAAAAATTGGGATGGGCCACTCTTATCACTTAGGGGTATAAAAAATAGCTAACAACCTATGTTCAGACCCACTGATTATACATATAAAATTTCATCAAAATCGGTAGAGCCGTTTCGGAGGAGTAAGGTAACAAGTGTAACACGAGAATTTTATATAATAGATAATATTAATATGTAACTGATACTTACTGTTGATTATATCTGCACCAATCTGGACTATAAATATTAGCAGACCCTATTACAATTCTCAATGAATCGTCTTCATAAAAAAATATAAAGCATTTCCTATAAGTTGAAAGTATTAACACAAAATTATATTACAATAAGAGAACTTACGTATGTTGACAACCATAATCATTTCCTACCGATATATAGTGGCATTTAATATTAGGATATAAATCTTTTACTACCTCTCGATTAGCAGTGCAACCATCCTCAAAGCCATAGAGAACAGTTATTGGTGTGTGGCTAAAAAATATAACAAAATATGATTTAAAAACTATATTAACAGTTAACAGGCTTCTATTAATTACTGTAGCTTTCTAGCAGCATATTGTTCAATTAACCATGCAATATCCACGTGAAAAGTCATTAATAATGAACATTTCAATTTCCCAAAACTGGGACATAAAAGATCTACAAAATAAATTTACATTTCTTTGTAGCAAAATTTACAAATTAATAAAATTTACCTGTAAATTTAATGGAATATAATTGTTCCTCCGTACCTTCGCATACTTTTAAGCTGTTGTAAAATATATTAAAAGGTGCAGCATCTCTCATTTTCTCAACCATAGTAATTTGGTCAGCATGTTTACCCAATCTTTTAAGAATTGGACTTTCCGGATAGTAGAACAGCTCAAAATATCGATCAAACGGTAACTCTGCAGGTACAATCTTCTCACTGGCTAATTCAACAAATAAAATGGAAATCGGCTCTTCTGGTTCATCTCCCTCTTCACTACTTGAAAAACTACTTGATTTTATATCTTTCTTTTCGTCAGGTTCAATCCCGGCAGCAGCTGCCATATTTTTGATATCACACCAAATAGTATAAATTCAACAATCAGAATTAGAGGAGTCTCTCATTGACAAACCTTATATAATTTTTTTTATTTAACTAAAAAGTACCAAATTTACAATATAGACCAATAAAAAACCGAAACTTAACCTTGCATTTCTTGTTGTGGCAACACCGCCGTCTCAGCTGTTCATAAAAATATGATAAAAATGGTTTGGCAACAGCGACCAGAAAACTACCGTTGGCAACATTGGTCTGTAGCCCACAGATCAATTGTGTTAAGTGTCATCAGAATCAAGCAACAAGAATCTGTGGTACCAATAATTTCCCGCTCATCACCCAAGAACAGGGTTCGGAAAACTACATGTTGGTTTTAAAAACTACATAAACTACATTACATGTAGTTAATGTAGTTTATGTAGAGGGTGTAGTTTATGTAACATATGTATGTAACTGTGGTACTAACGGTTTGGGTTATCAATTAATGATGTAAACTTATTAGTACACACTTTATTAAAATACTTTAATCAAATACACAGTTTAAAGAAGGCTGAGTAAACTTATTCGTAGTAGTTGTTGAGAATGTCTTGAGAGAGTGTTAGTTATGAGAGTGTGTGTGTGACATCGTTGACCGTTGACAGACGTGTTTTTGTTATTACTCTATGGAGGTGTCTCGATATTCGAGTATCACCAAGGATAGAGTAGGAATGTCGCTTTCAACATTGTCACCACAATACTCCCCCCTAAAAAACGGAGTTGGTAGAAAATACCAACTACTATATATAGAAAATATGGTTTATAAAAATAGATAAAAATATAAACCATATTTTTCCTAATGGAAGGATGAATAGGATATGCAAAATTAAGATATTTTAACATTTATTTTCCAAACCAAGCATAATATAGTATTAAGATGAAGACATAACAAATATTATAAGAAAGATCTTAATATAAATCACAAACTAAGTCTTAATTTAGTCTTGTATTTCTATTATTATTATTATTCTTATAAAACTAATAAGATCAAAACTCAACCTTCACCATATTGTCAAGATTTGGCATTATAGGAAACAAGAAATTACAGTAAATTAAGAAAAGAATAACAAAGTACACGATATTAAATACTGTAATGTATTTTACGATACAAACCATCTCCCTTCTAAAGAGAAAAAGATAAAACATAAAGCTTATTTTAGTCTTATCAACACACTCTTCGATAAAATCCACTAACTTGATATCTATGCTTGATATTTTTAAGAAATTATGATACAAACATTAATTATAATCAAAGTATATTATATTAGTAACATTATATAATAGGTAAAATGTTACCTCTATCTCCGATTGACGTTTATTGTTCTATAATAAGACCCGTCATGGTAGTACTTCAAAACATCAATACATGCATATAATCAAAAATATTGTTGCCTGTAAATAACTAGAAATTAAATAACTTGAAAGAAATAAAATAATTCTAATAAGTTTAAAACCATTAAGAAAAAATCCGTAAATGATAAATTTTAATCTAATAAATATATAAACATATATAAATAACACCGTCACGCCACTGATGAAGTGAAATGACAGAAAGACAGCCGAAACTCAACCGTGTTGTCATATTTATGTACCCATCTCTTTTTAACTCTCATAAAAGTGCCAAACCATGTATGATTCTAAAAAATTGAGTTTTATGAATGGAGTGTTCTGTCTACCTATATTTAGATGTCTTTGGGTTCTACCGCTATTTTTAGGTTATGCGATGTTTCCCGCGCAAACTCTAAGTTAGGCTTCTGGTTGATATCTATTCTTGTGGTTATTCTGTGCCTTGTATTCTTTGTACCATGGATCCACACCTTTACCTTATTTTATATTTTTTCTAATCTTGTTTTTTCTAATCTCTTTTTCACTGAAGTTGTGTATAAAGGACAAAGGACAGTTAAATCTGTGAGTTAAATATTTATAGTTGTTTAGAAGGCTGCTTTGTATCTTTTCCTACTGAAAAACCTATTTCAGGTAAATGTAGCAACAGTATCTTTGGTACATTACAATACAAATTCTATGATTAATTTTATATTTTAAGATTTTTAGATTTATATTGACGAATATCAAAATTCCAATGATGTGAATTATGTGTAAAATAGAGGAAAGATACTTAATGGAGATTGTGAAGTAAGGTACCTATTATCATTGTGATCGGATCATAATATTATCATTCATATACATTAAAAACATAAATTCATAATCATTTATTGATATTCTTATTTGATGGTTTTAAATCTATGAATATTATATCTGAATTATCATGTCATTACATCCAAGCGGTTTAATTTTTTATATATTTGCAGGCAAAATATTCATTTTATTATTTCTGACTTATGTATTAAATTACTCTAAATTTTGGTAAAATCTAGTAAAGAGGTAACATTAAATAACTACTTACGCAATCCACTTTAATTTATACAGAGAGTCTTATAGCAGATATCAATGCGACAAAGATAATAATATTTAAACATTCAACAGTTTATCTGGTGTGGTTATAATTCTTGTATCAATTTTTCTAAAACAGATCAAGTTACTGTATTAGAAAAATGTAGGCACATATTTTTTTATGAAAAAATGGCGATAGAGTTAATAAGCTTTGTTGTATCTTTTACACTTTAGGAGGTCTATGTTGTAGAATGCATTACAATATTTAATATTCTGTATTTTCATTGTTTTATTTTATGTAATTTCTTGTAAGTTGTCAAAATACCGCCAAGAAAATGGTGACAATATGGCGAAGTCTGTGGCGAAGTTTCTAATTTGAATGTATTAAATTTACATTATGATATGATGCAAAAAATCAAAATGTTTTACCAGATACTTTTTATTATATTTTTTGTTTTAATACTACAATATTATTATGCTTTGTGGTGTGGAAAACAAATGTTAAGATATCTTAATATTTGCCATGATGTTTTATTACAAAATATGATTTATAAATCACAGATATATTAATTAAATATAATATTATATATTTTGTAGACATTTTGGACAATTGGACATGACAAAGAATTAAGAAGCACGGCAATAAAGGTAGAAAAAAAATAAGGCTAGAGAAGCAGCAGTCTAGTGTTGAGAATATCGGAAGCCCCAAAATTAGATGGATCCTATAATAATGGATATTAAGGACAGAATTTGTCTGTTTATTTCTTTTAAATCATGTATAATTTAAATTTTGTAAAGTTGAGTTTCATCTTATTAAATAAATTACTTTTTCTTTTCAAATGTAGCCATCTATAGTGTTTTATTTGTGTCTAATTCTATTGATAATGAAATTAGAGCTGCACAATTCACAAGAATTTGATGATTAAATATATACATATATCTTAATAAAGTAATTATAAATATATTTATTCAGATATCATTTTAGACCTACATATATGGTAAAAAAAACTCAATATTTACTATATGGTAAAAAATATAGCTTATAATTTCTTATTTATTATTATAAATTATAGTATTTTCATTTTCATCTTTACATTCAAGTATCTATTTCTGTATTTTATTCTCATTCAAACCAATAAATTTATTTTAACAGATTTTATTGTTTTTTTTTGTTTTAATTAATAGGTAGGTAATGGTAATAATAAAATTATATTTAAAATTTCTATTTTAATAATGACAAAGCAGAAAAAATAAAGTTTATAAAAAAAGTAAAACAAAAATAAAACTTTATAAAGAAAATTAGGTAATTACCGAAAATTAAATTGTAATTATATTAAAAAGGCAGATTTTGTGGCGTATAAAAAAGGATTTATTTATTATCTAATTTCAAAATAATACACATGCACAATTTTCACAAACATCAACAGAAATTTGCTTACTGCGCATGCGTAGAACTCGGATGAAAGTCTTTTGCCCTGCGTACGTTAACCCCTTGTTAACCTGGATTCTCTCCTTTAGTTGGTAACTCAATTACCGGGACCCTAGCAGCTTAGGCCTACAAATTAATTAAAAATAGAAGAATTTCTTCTCCTTTTACCTCAAAGCAGCCATAGATTTTACAGTGTATGGCTGTATGAAAAGGGCCACAAAAAAAACAAAGAAGACATATTTTTTTCTTCTTTTTAATTAGTTTTTTTTTCCCTATTTATGGCCACTTGTCTATTACGACATTCAGCCAGCTTATTTCTTATTATTGGTAATGGTGTGGATCCGGTGGCTGACCTTGAAACGAGTTTCTGCTGCATATAGTCACAGACACTACGCATGCGCACATCTTCGATGTTGCCAGATTGTAAGTTATTTTGGAATTATTTTCAGTAGAAAACAAATATGTGCTTTTCAGTGTTTTTTGTCAATATATACCGTATGATCGAAAAAACGGCGTCCAGTTAGCTGGGAAATGACGATTGAGGACATTTCCCATATAAAATGACAGCGATCTTCATTTCAGTCATTGCTGACGCTATTTTTTTTTCAATCATAGTACGCGGTATATTATTTATATCAAGGATTTATATTATTATTTTAATATTTCGCACAACACGTGAACGCTTATTATGTATTTTCATAGTCAATAAAATTAAATAGAAATAAAACTCTAGATTCCTATAATTAATCTAATTGCTCTAGATTATTTAGCTACGTTTAAAAAGGGCTTTATTAAAAATTCGGGAAATTATATGTCCAAGTTTTTCCTTTTTTTTAATTTTAAATGCTGTAGCTCCATGTCATGTTCATAATAGGTTTTCTGCTAATTTAAGATTTCTCTATTCTTACACCTAATTTATGTGATTTTCTTAGCTATAATATGATTTATAAACCATATTTTTCATAATGGAAGGATGTAATAGGATATGCAAAATTAAGATATTTTAACATTTATTTTCCAGACAAAGCATAATATAGTATTAAGATTAAGACATAATAAATATTATAAGAAAGATCTTAATATAAATCACAAACTAAGTCTTAATTTGGTCTTGTATAAACACAGGTATAAAACTAACAAGATTAAAACTCAACCTTCACCATATTGTCAAGATTTGGCATTATAGGAAACAAGAAATTGCAGTAAATTAAAAAAAGAATATCAAAGTAAACGATATTAAATACTGTAATGTATTCTACGACACAAACCATCTCCCTTCTAAAGAGAAAAAGATAAAACATAAAGCTTATTTTAGTCTTATCAACACTCTTCAATAAAATATATGTCTAAAATTGCTATTAATCCACTAACTTGATATTTTTAAGAAATTATATGATACAAACATTACAATCAAAGTATATTATATTAGTAATATTATAGGTAAAATATGTTACCTCTATCTCCCATTGACGTGTATTGTTCTATAAGACTCGTCATGGTAATATTTCAAAACATCAATATATATACATATAATGAAAACTATTGTTGCCTGTAAATAACTAGAAATTAAATAACTTGAAAGAAATAAAATAATTCTAATAAGTTTAAGAAAAAAAAATCCGTAAATGATAATTTTTAATTCTAATGTAAATATATAAATAAATGTTATTATTATTATTATTCAACCACTTCCATATCTCTGTTATTATTACGTACAATTTTATATGTATATTCATAATACTTTCATTTCAGAATCTTCATTATCCTTCTTACCTTAATTTTGATATCAAAATAAATCTGAAATTATAAAATTAATTATAGAATTTGTATTATTATTGATTAACACTCAAAAAAAAATTCAACTGCAAATAATTCGAAAATAAACTGCAATTTGGCAACATCGACGATGTGCGCTTGCGTAGTATCGATGATCAAATGCAGCAAATATGGACTTCAAGGTCAGCCACCGGATCCACACCTTTACCTTATTATTTAATTAGCGTTTAAAATTGGACAAATACAGACTCACACACACATTTAACACCCATGTCCGAGGCCGGAATCGAACCGGCGACCTTGCGTCTACTAGAATGCGGCGCAATCATTTCGACCACAAGGCCGACTTTAATAAGGTTAAACTCAAGGGTCAAACCCTTGGGTCAAACTATCAAACGAAGAAGAAAGAATATGTCTTCTTTCAGTTTTTGTGGACTGGACTCTTGTTTAGCAATAGACCGGCGTCTCATCTGTTTAAGAATTTTTGCAAATAAATAAGAAGAAGAACTGTCACTTTTGTTTGTCCGGTCACTGAAGTTTTGTTTTCTGTTTTTTATTTATTTAAATTAGGCCGTATCTGCGGCAAACTATAAGAAAATTATTTTCTACAATAAGTATTTTAGGTATAGGACATATTACTAAGACTCTAGTCAATATTTTGGTTTGGATTCACTATAATATGCACTAATTTTCAAAATGGTTATGGAATCTAAAACTACAAGTAAAACAAGCTCCTTAAAAGCTCTGCTTTTACGAGCCTGGAGGGAGAGATGGACAGACCTCCAATGGGGAATTAATATAAAAACTGTTTTACCCAGAGGAGTGAGTGGAGATGTATATAATTTAGCTGACTGTATTTTACAACAGGCTGTAGTGGGAACTGGTGCAAACCAATTAGTTTTAAGTTATTTAAGACACTCTTTAAGTGCACAGTTAGTATCTCATGCTGCTGTACTTCAAAGAATTAGTAAATATAATCAACTGAATAAAGTTCATTGTGTTTCTAGTTTGTTGGAGTTTCTTGAAGGTAAAGTTAAAGAGAAATTTTAAAATTCTTGGTGATAAAGTTTTATTTTAGGGATGCTACCTGGTGTAACATGTAGTGGGAAACCAGAAGAAACAGTATTAGCTACTGCTGTGCTTTCTGCTGCATTATGGTTACTTAATATTTTACAGCAATGCAGAGATACCTCATCCCTAACACAAAAGGCAGGGGATCTTTTAAAAATCCTTTTAACAGATGATTTTTACATTTCAATGATTTGCCTTGCAAAATATAATGATACAGGTATAGGTATACAAATTAAATTATTGAGTTTTATATGGGTACTTAAGCTTTTTATGATTTATAGAGCTTTTCCAAGAGACAAGTGGCAAATGTACAGAACTATTAACTATTTTACAAGACAGTGATGAAATTAAGAAGTATGTAGCTAAATTGGAACATATTGATATAAATGTGCTATGTTTACCAGTTAAAAGTGAAACATGGCCAGGATCTTTAGTTCAGTGTTGGCTCGAAGTCAAACTGATTGGAGATCCGGGGGCTTCTACTAATAGTTTAGCAGAACAATTGCAGATTTTCCAAAGACTTAAAGGTATGTAACATACAGGGTGACCCAGCAACCTAGTGTTCCAATAATTCTATTAGGATTTAGTGATGCCAGATTGTTTGCTGAACTTATCAGAGGGAGCTTATTGGCTTTATACAGTGTGAATCAAACATCACATGAAAGCCACTGGGGTGCATTTACTTTTCTTAAAGTTCCACACATACTGTTAGAACTTCGAGGAAAAACAGATAATATTAGTATTGCAAATTCAATTGAGCTGATGTTGCAGGTGAGTTTAATTTATTATTGAAATTTTTTATATATTATTTTATATTTAGCATAGTCCTCTTTTGGATGCCATGGATGCAAACAGTTCCTGTTCCAGTTTGAAATGTTTAATAGATGAGCTAACTAAAATTAGACTATTGAGTGAATCTCAATCACAGATTTTATTGGAAAAAAGAAAAACGCCACCGACTTTCTTAGAATTAGATAATAGTCCTAACACGGGAATACCGGAAGTTATTATTTCAGCAGAATCAACATTTTCGAATATTTTGAAAACTCTTTCTGCAGATTATCACAAAACCCAGGCAAGTTGAATATTCTGTATTAGAACATGAGAGAAAAAAGAAGGCTAGATGGCTTGCGCGTGACGTCATCGAAAGGTGGCGACGGACGAAACTCAACCTATAAGTACACATTCGGTATGAGCAGGGTTGCCAGATGTCCTACCTTAGAGGGGACAGCCTCGCTTTTAACTTTTGCTTTTTAAGTAAATTATCCCGCATTTCTCTCTTTTAAATAGTGTCTAGACCTAAAAAGTCTTTTTTTAACTATACATAATGTAAACCGTTTTTTTTGGCTGTAGGTTTTATTACAGGGTGGGTGTTGTCAGTCGACACTCCTAATATTGTATTAGCAACAATGTTCTGCTTTTCTATTATGAGGATCTGGCAACCCTGGGTGTAAGTTTCGCACTAAAATTACTATGTTAAAAAAATGGAAAACTTCTTGAATCCTATTGTTTCTATCTGTATGCTAAATTATACTGACAATTTGTTAACCCAGTTTTTATTAAGATTATCATTTTTAGGAAGCCTTCTTTTATTGAGGCTTTTTATATGAATGAATAAAATGACTAAAAAATACTTTAATACCTACTGGTGTATACGCCAGAAATCAGAAATTTTCGCTATGTATTTCACGCCGTCCCGGTTGCGTATTGGCATTGTCTCCTATGGTACGACGCAGCCTTAGAAAAATGTATGCCGAATCACGGAAGACAATGTACCACGATTTGCGAATAATAGGCTCGACATTCTCTCCTGCATTAGGACGCCACGCGTTGTATCTTAAAGCGGCTAAGTGCAGTAGATTAAAAAATACTTTAATACCTACTGGTGTATACGCCAGAAATCAGAAATTTTCGCTATGTATTTCACGCCGTCCCGGTTGCGTATTGGCATTGTCTCCTATGGTACGACGCAGCCTTAGAAAAATGTATGCCGAATCACGGAAGACAATGTACCACGATTTGCGAATAATAGGCTCGACATTCTCTCCTGCATTAGGACGCCACGCGTTGTATCTTAAAGTGGCTAAGTGCAGTAGATATTGTCACAAATTATTTTCCCATTATGAGGGGCGATATCTACTATATAAAAATGCAATTTGCGTGACGCCTTAAGCAAAATGGCTTCTTTCATTTATTATGTCATATTAATATATATATATATATATATATATATATATATATATATATATATATATATATATATATATATATATATATATATATATATATATATATATATATATATATATATATATATATATATATATATATATATATATATATAAAAGCATGGGTAGTGACATTTGAGTGGCAATATCTACAATATCTACTATGTAAAAATGAAATGTAAGTCTTTTGCTTTAATTTATTCATTTGTAACAATACATACAAAAAAAACAAGGTTAGTGAGATTTTGCATTAGGTGTGTTTTTATTCACGTTGGCCGATAAGTTCCTCTTCTTTTTGATTACCTGTTTAACTTCGTTTTTTGAGGGTCTACCTGACTGAATTCTCTTCGCCCCAGACGTAAATCCAGGTCGAATTTTACGTCTGGACTTGGATGTAGGCTGTACTCCAATTTGCTGTCCACGGTTGTAACAACATTTCTTCGCGATTTTCATTTGGCAAAAATATGACTGAACTTGTGTAGCAGTTGTTAACTGGCTAAGTGTAAGATTAATATTATGTATTGCTTTAGTTAAGTCGCTATTTGGATTATTAAGTGCAATTTCGGAAATTCTAACAAAATTGGATTTTAAAATAGTCACTTCACGTATGTGCAGGGGATCAGACGGCCCTTCAGTGAATCCTATTCTTTGAGTTTTAACTGATTTTTCTTCTTCGATATTCATTGGTATGTTTATACTTTGTTCAATATTTTCAGTATAATTTTATCACTGAGTCGGTCATTCGTGCTAGTAGGCATATTTATTGGTATATCCATATCCATATCCATATAGAAGTCCTTAGATGCTTCATTCCCCAATGCCAATTTAGCTAAAATAATTCTATTTTCGGAGCGTAATAATGGCGAAGTATTGAGTACCAGCGAAAAACGCTCTTGAATCGCACATAGGTGTTTGCAAAACCGGCCGCCTTATCCAAATGGACAATCACATAATGCTATATCTACATATGCGGTGTAAAAAAGATGTCTATCTTCGTCTGAAGAACTTCTGTAAGTGTTTGAGTCCATTTTATGTACGTCGAGAGATTTTGCCTTTTTAGGGAATGCCAGATATGATAATTTTGGTTGACTTCGCCTTGAATTAGCAAACACCACAAATGTTTCTTGTGGTAGGTTTCGAAAACACTAACAATGAAGTCTACAAGAACACATGCATTAAACGCCTTGCAACGTTGAAGTACTATATCCTTAAAAATTCTTATAGAGGCCTCAACATAATTGTTTGTGTTATTACCTCTGGTAAGGACGTCGTTTCTGAGGCATAAACACCATTCTGTTCTCTCCCAAATTGATTCAAGGTGACTCAAGAGCTGGGGATATTTTTTGGATGCATTCTCCCTTAATATTACATCGTATTGTGTTTCGGCTTCTTCAATGCAGGAAGAATATAATATACTTTGAAACATCTTCATGATTGGTTTTCGATCTTCATTTAAAATATGATTTTCGGATGCCTAAACCCATCTCCAAAGAGCTTGCAAAAGATGGAATGAACACAAAAGTAAACGAGAAGATGGATAGACAGAACTTAAAGTATTACGTTCACTGGCACTGTCGTCAGTCATAAACAATGAAGGGTATCCTTGGCCTCCAAAACCATTTATACCTAAGTGCTCCTTCAAAACACTGAAAGCTAGAGTATAGTTGCTTTCTGTCTGCGCAGTATGCAGTATACAAGCTAGAGGAATGGCACCAATTTTTGAAGCAGCATACATAAACGTTACGCAGGTGTTCATTTGATCACACGAACCGCTTGAGTCGACAAAAACAACGCACGTGTGCACGCTTCATGATGGGAGTTAAAATCGCAATAATCAGTGGATTTTCCTTAATAATAACTCCAAATCCTTTAGCTACATACAAATGTTTCTTCTTTTCAATTACTTTGAAGATACTAGCTTCACTGCGTGTTCCAAAATTAACCGTCCTAAAATAAATAAAGATTGAATTTCCATTAACCAGGAACAGAAACTAAACTTCACCTCCATTTATTGTATAAATGCTTTATTTGACGTGCAGTTGGATTAACTTTCGCATTAGCTAGATCCTTTTCAAATTTATCAGCTTCCATTAAAGATATTTCATGAAATGCTTTAGCGACAGTTGGACCCATACCATCATCAAAATATTGTAAAAACTTCTTTTGAACGTTATCTGTGAGGCGGAGATAACTGTATACCTCTGCTACATTAACCCTGTGACTGTGCTTGAACGAAATCTGCAAAAATATACAGGGTGATCAAACTTAAATCGACACTATTGCCAACTTCTTCAGTGTTAGAGCTACGAGGTCGGTTAAGGTAGCAAACTAATATAACTAAACAAACAGAAAAACCATTGAACATCGCGTTTTTGAGTTATCTCAAAAGAAAATTATTTCTTAAATGGAACACCCTGTATATCTATCTTTTATTGCGATTGCCCACACTTTTCTGAACATAAAAGGCTATTATGACTTTAATTCTAAAATCGAAAATAACTCATTACAGTTGAGGGTTGGAACCTTTGGTGTTACACAGCAAAATAACCATGGTGATTTAGAGTTTTTATTTTGCTTTGAAAATAACTCAGTTATGGCCCTTTTCAACTTTTCGTCTAGGGTGAAAATATCGGAGATCTGGACTTTTTTCACTGTTTTTTCGGTTTATAATTCCATTTTCGATTTTAGAAAATTAGCCATAATAACCTTTTATGTTCAGAAAAGTGTGGGTAATCGAATAAGAGATAAATATAAGGTGTCCCATAAATACAAGGCGTCCCATTTAAAAATAATTTTGAATAACTTAAAAACACGTTGCCCAATTGTATAATTAATTTTCTGTGCATACCACGTTAATCAGCAGAAAAAATGCTATTAATTTACTAATTTAACCGACCTTGTAGCTGCAATAATAAAGAAGTTAGCAATAGTGCAGACTTCAGTTTGATCACCCTGTATACAGAGTCAATTTAAAATTTCAAATATGAACAAATTAATAGGAAAAACCATCTTGGGCGTTGTTTTCGCTAAGCAAGCAGACTATGTATTATGAAATATTATAGTAATAAGTATACCACCACGAAAATTTCGCGACAAGTGTATTTTTAATACAAATGCCACTTTTCCCTGTTTAAAATCTTACTGATTAATTAAAAAAATTAGTACTCACCATCACAACCGTATCCAGCCCTTCCTTCAACAAAATATCTTTTCTTACAGTATTTTTATTCGTTAGTTTTATTTTGAAATCAATTTTAGCATTAAGTCCCGTTCTCAGAACTGCGACTGTCGCCAGCGACACGACAAAAGAACCAATCAGATTTGTACAAAATTCAAACAGCTGTCAATTTTAAATTTAGTACAGCTCCCATTGGTCGTTTGAAGTGTCAATCAGTGTCGCTGTCGACACGACGCAGTTCTGAGAACGGGGCTTTAAGCCCCGTTCTCAGAACTGCGACTGTCGCCAGCGACACGACAAAAGAACCAATCAGATTTGTACAAAATTCAAACAGCTGTCAATTTTAAATTTAGTACAGCTCCCATTGGTCGTTTGAAGTGTCAATCAGTGTCGCAGTCGACACGACGTAGTTCTGAGAACGGGGCTTTACAGTTCTTGTCACGAATCCTTGTGTCACATCTTGCACGATTTTTAATTTTGCCGAACGTGCTATGTTGGCAAACAAACACCTTTCTGAATTTCAGTCGTTTAACATTCGGATAAGTATATCGGACTATCCAATTAGTTGCACTTAAATCGAATTGCACTTGAGCCGAACTCTGTTATCAAGCGGTCACAAAATTCGGGTGCGAGTTTTTCTTTTTCGTCATAATGAGCTCGAATCTCACAAGTATAATTAAAGTCACTATTAAACGTGAAATGTATTAATCTGGCACTGTTGTTATTGCAAAATTGCGTTAAAATACTCTTAACACTTTCCTCCATTTTGGATTAACCTTTATTGCGATTTTGACCGTGTAGCGGATTGTAGCGCGACGAATTTCAACCATCAGCGAGCAACGTGATGTTAAAACAAAACAACTACTACTCAAAGGCGCCGAAAAAACGGAAGATATTGTCCCTCCTACTTAGCATTTCCGCAGAAAATAATCTACTCTATTTAGCCGCCTCAGTATACAGCGCGGCGTCCTAATGCAGGAGAGACTGTCGAGCCTATTATTCGCAAATCGTGGTACATTGTCGTTCGTGATTCGACATACATTTTTCTAAGGCTGCGTCGTACCATAGGAGACAATGCCAATACGCGTCCCGGTTACAGTTCATGTTGATCGCATTAAAGTAATATTGAAATTTTGGCTTTGTCATAATATTTAAGTATTTTAGTTTTTTGCTAGTGCAGTTATTGCAACTATAAAACACTCAGGTATGGGGTTTGTGTGATATAACGCTGTTTCGTGTAGTAAAAATAAGTGAAAAAGAATCCGGACCAGGCGTCGTGTTGTAATATACTATGAGAGTATAACATATAATTTGCAATATTAATGGTATTTTTTTTTAATCAACTAGTCATTAAATGTTTTATGAACATCTAAAATTATAATAATGTACCTTTAAAAATTTCGTTATAGCCGACATAGCCCCAATTATGACCCTACTAGCAAAACCGGTGATTAAAACTGTACTCGCTATCGTAGTTGAACTCATCTAAAAATGTTTTTAGCTGGAATAATAAATTACAATACAAGTTAGATCTTCTGAAGATATCAAAATATTTACTTTTTTTTTATTTTTAGAATTTTCACAAATTACACTTCCTAACACTGTAATAGAATAATTATAAAATAAATTTTTCGTATATTCGCTATTTAAACCTGTGCATTTACTTCGGCAGCATATTCTGCAGATAAAAATAGGTAAAAAAGTTCTTATAAATGTATGTCCTCAAATGCTTAGTTTCAGAGATACAGGGTGTAGAAATTTCATTTTTATTTCGATTTTTTCCAAATAATTTCTGAAGTAACGTCAATATTAAGATGAAAATTGGTGTCTGGGAGTTTTTGACATGAGAAATTTGATTTTGATGTTAATATGACTCCTACTGGTAGAGGGCGCCACCTACGTGCGTTTTAACTGTTTTGAAGCGTAATAACTTTTTGTCCGTACCTGTATAAAACTACCGAGGGAAAAATATACATCTCTGTGATTTTTTACCTAAAAAAGATCTCTTTGTGAAAACCGCTACGAGCAACCGTTCTCAAGATATTTAGAATGGAAACAGTCAATACATGCCATTATTGACGAAAAATAAACACGTTGAGTAGGTGGTTATTTCGCTGAAATGATAAATTAGGGAAATTTTTATTTTTTTAAATTAATCATATTTTTTCTGCAAAAAAATGATGATAAAACAGTTGTTGTTGAACTTTTGGTAGAAAAACATTTCAAATTTATGATCTCAGTCTAATAACTATTTAGTCAACATGTTTAATTTATGTCAGTGATGACAGATATTGATAATTTCGATTTCAAATATCTCCAAAACCATTACTCATAGCGATTTTTACCAAAAGACCTTTTTTACGTAAAAAGAGTCGTAAATGTATATTTTTTTATTCAGTAGTTTTATACAGGTACAGACGAAAAGTTATTACTCTTCAAACCAGTTAAAAAATATGTAGGTGGCGCCCTCTATAAGTAGGAGTCATATTGACATCAAAATCAAATTTCCCAAGCCAAAAAACTCCCAGACATCAATTTTCATCCAAATATTGACGTTACTTCATAAATCATTTGGAAAAAATCGATATAAAAATTAAACTTCAACACCCTGTATCTCCGAAACTAAGCATTTTAGGACATACATTTATACGAACTTTTTTACATATTTTTATCTGCAGAATATGCTGCCGAAGTTTCCGGAATACAATTCGGGCCACCCTGTATATTAGTTGTTTACAATACTCTTCGATGTTGATAGCACCAGCAGGAGAATGTACCAAGCCTATAGGTCCTGAAAGACATTGTCTCAGGATTTGAATTACAGTGAGATTATTGTCAATCTTTGAAAGAGACTTAAACAATAGTTACTTTCTCACCATGGTATTCACAAACAAAAAAATATGAAAAATAACATTTTAGTATTTATTTTTTGTACTATATCTGTATTCAAGAAAAGTCAAGGAAATAACTTCTTTTGTCAATTTTCTTTGACATTTCACTTGGCATATTTGAGTTTGATATTATGATTTTTTTCTATTTGTTTTGCTTTTCTGAGTTTATTTTGTTACTTCCTGTTTATTCTATAATTATTTTACTTATGCAAAGTGTATAGATCTTGAAAGACATTGTCTCAGGACTTGAATTGCAGTGAGATTATCGTCAATTATGGAAAGAGACTTAAAAATAGTTACTTTCTCAAAAAATAACTTTTTAGTATTTATTTTTAAATACTAATTTTTTTATACCATACAATTGAAAAAAAACGCCGTCAGAATTGGTATCGGCTCGTTTCAACAAGACAAGAGGTCGTTTTTTTGCGATTATATGGTATTATACAAGTAGTAAACCAATCTATTGTAACATTCATTTAGAGTTGAATATTTTTTTGATTTTGTATTTTCGCATTTAATTACTACTTGTTAAAAATAAGTAGCATGATATGTCAATTTTATGATCTTTTTATAGTTGTTTCAGTAGCGTATTTGTGCTTTTATTATTGATCACCTACTTTTAACTAATCTACAACATACTAAGCTACCTAAATTAACAAACAATTATTTGGAAATCGGAAAGCATCATCTCTACTATTGGAAACGTTCATCCACTACACGATCATCCGCCTTCCTTTGATGACGTATCAGATTTTTACGTCAGAGCTATCTGGCCTTCACTCTCCAGGGTAACGGCTTGATTGACTCTATTTTTTCAGGATGTTATTTTAGGTATGATTCAACAACTGTTAACTGGTAAAAATTTCGAATTGATCCTGGCAGTGGCGTGTAGCTCTAACCAACTGCGCACACTCGTCAATAGGTTGATTCGTTTCAATGAATGCTATAAATTAGGACAAGACAACGCGAGAATTCAGTTGTTTGATATCAGTTTTGTAATGCTAATTTCCATTGTACAGAATTATGGTAAAAAGATCAATATTTGACATTTCTTCTATATTGTTTTACTATAATTAGGAGCATCTGCTGTGTTGGGTCCAGGTGGCGAATCACTTTTTGAACAGTGGGTGAATGACTGTATGGTGGATCGTCACAAACCGAAAGCACCCTTGCAACTTCTAAACATGAGCGATCCCAGTATTGTTGAAGCTTTGATTCAACAGTTTAATACAGAGGAAGTTGACTTTAAGCCCACGATGAAACTGAGAGATATTCTGTTCAATATGCCCGGTGTTATGAAGGAAGTTTTAGTTGCTTGGGAACAAGGTAAGACAAAAAAATATTCATATTTAATTCAGATAGCTATCAGCTGTTGTGTGTTATTTTTGGGATGTTGTCTGTTGATTCATTGATCAGACCAATGACTAAAGAATACAAGGACACCCGAGACCAAACTGACCTTTCTTCCAAACAGTGCCGTGGCACATATTTTTCCTAGCATAGCCGCTTGAACCGATATTTATATTTTTGATAAATGTTTTTACTACGCCTGTGGTGTATCCGGTGGTATCATACTAATTACTTACGAAAAAAACGTATTAAAATGTTAACAAAAGGTACTAAACTAGTATCGACGTATAGCACATATCAAGTACATATAATATCAGAAAAATAATTATCAAATTCAATAAAAAAAACGCTAAAAAGGTGGAGTGGGCTGTTTATTTCCTTTAGCCAGGAGTTAAAACGTAACTCTTGGCTCTTTTTTATCATTGTACCTTTTACACTTGAAAGCTGAACAAATTACCATTGTAATAGAGTTTACACAAAGTTCACTAAAACAACCAACTATTGAAAATTGCTAAAATTGTCGCTGATGACCAGCTGATGACTCATTCGTTGCTTCCAAAGAAATGGCGTCTAAGGTCACAAATTCTGCTGCAGCCCGTATATGGACGTTACATGTCCTTGTATTCTTTAGTCATTGGATCAGACGTTATTATACCGGGTGCGTCTCGAAAGTGGCTCATCGCCTATAACTTTTTTATTTTTTCAGATAAAGAAACGAGATTTGGTATGTTAGTATATGACATAAATTGGGATTGATTGACATATTCAATTGTTTTTGGTCACTTCCTGTTTCACCGGAAATGACTACAACTTTTGATTTTTAAATGGCACCCTCGGTTTACTTTTACTTTATTCGATAGAAAATGACACTCTGAGTAGAATGACATACCATATGTCAACTTTTGACATCTTCGCTTTAAAAAAAATTGTATTTTAAATTCTAGAGCGCCATGAAGTTTAAAAACACTAATTTTTAATCAAGGAGCCTTGAAAAAATAGATTTGATCGTTTAATGCCTTTCGTGTTTTGTCCTGGCTGGTCAAACGATGGTCAAATCGTTTTTTTAATAATTACTCAATTTTTTCAAATGTAACATGAGTGGCTTATTAGCATATTTGGAAAAAGCATTTTTTTACGAATAATTTAATACCGCACACTTGGTATTTCGAGTCAATTTGTCGTTATGAATCGCATGTTACAATTTCAAATAAACCATATGCGAAAATGTCAGAAGTTGACATATGATATGTCATTCTATTCAGAGTGTCATTTCTATCCAATAAAGTAGAAATATATCGAGGGTGCCATTTAAAAATCAAAAGTTGTAGTCATTTCCGGTGAAACAGGAAGTGACCAAAAACAATTGAATGCGTCTATTAATTCTAATTTATTCATATACTAAGATACCAAATCTCTTTTTTTTTATCTGAACAAATAAAAAAGTTATAGAGGTGAGCCACTTTTGAGACGCACCCGGTATACATATATTCTTTCATCTGCCCATAGGTGCTTTGTCCACTTCTGATGTAAAGAGAATCCTGGATTCGGTACGAGGCAAAATGTGTTGCCTGCCTATTGCCGCAGCGACATATCTCTGTTCATACATGCGAACAGCCCCCCAAGACACCCTGCTGAAGCCAATGAACATGGTACAGCAACTTCTAACAATGCCCACGACCGAGGACGACAGCATAAGAGTTCGCTGGCAACTAACGTGCGACATAATAAGGAAAATGCAAAGGGACATACAACTGCCCGCTTCGAAAAGTAGCCATCACTTGGTGTCCAGGGCTCCGGCCACGGAATTGTTGCACAGCACATGGAATTGTGGGATTACAAAGGGTTGGTTGGACTACAATTCTGCCAAGAATCTGCATTGCTTGTTGGATACGGCAGGTGCTCGGTGGTTGGTCAATGCCGTAATTCAGGAATTATTAAAACTGAGGTAAGTAACTGTCTGATGTTGTGATGTCTATTGTAATTAATTCCATAAAGGAAAACTATTTATTTTTTTAGTTTTTGCAGCAAACTATATAAAGATATAGTCTGTACAACAATCGTCGAACGTTATGTCATTAATTTTTTTTATTTAATATCCGATTGTTAGGGCATAAACATAGTAAGGCATCTCGATGCGATGCTCGCCAAGATGCTGGCCGCGCTGCTCGCCAGGATGGTAGCCGCGATGCATCCTACGCGCACTGTTTTAAAACGGCGGGTAAGTGCGCGTAGGATGCATCGCGACTATCGTACAAACATAGTGTAGGGCATTTCATCTCGATGCGATGCGCGCCATTCACCTCGCCATCCGGCGATGCTGAATCAAACATGTACAAATTTATGCGTCAAAACATACTGGAGCCTCGCACCTCGCCACGCACCTAGACGTTTAGCGCGATGCTTCCTAGGAAACAAAATTTTTGTTTTTTGCGAGAAGCGGACGCGGATGCCTGAAACTTTACATTTGATTGGCCGGTTTAGGATCACAATTCGTTGAGCATATGTCGAACTAGAGTCGGTTGGAATAAAATGTTCACAATACTAATATTTAATTTATCACCAACAATGTAATAACCTTTATTTTACAGGGTCCGGCAATAGTGCGATCTGCAGTTCTAATAATAAAAAGCTTATGAATTTTGTAGTCCAGACATAAAGTATCTATTAGGATGTATTTGAGAAAAATATTTGAAATTCTAAAGGGTGGCTCAAAAAAGTGTGAGTGGATCGCGAATATTTTTTTAAATGGAACACCTATATACGGGGTGGCGCAACTCATTAGCCTCGGTTGATTATACGAAAACGGAAATATGTAGAAACAAAATATTTTATGGGCATATGTGGGAAGACCATGTGCATAATTTAAAATTATTTTGAAATGTACAGGGTATGTCAGAACTAAGATTTACACCAAAATTATATTTTTTCTTATGGAACACCCGGTATTTTAATTCATATTTGGATCCTTGGACACAAAATAAGGCATGTATTATAAGGGTTATTATATATTAATATGTTTACAAGCTTTGGTTTTTGAGATATTTAAAGATATTTAAATATGCATGCTACAATGGAATAGATTATCAACACCCTGTACATTACTTTTTAGAATTAATTCTTGTGCTGAGTTTAAAGATAGAGAAATAAACTTTACTGAAAAATTGTATTGCTCCCTTAAATTTATACAGGGGTACCAAAAATTGATGATTTATTTTTATAGTTAGATAGATAAGTAAAATAATTAATTTACAATTTTGTTAATTTTATACATTTAGATTTTAGATTTTGCACATACAGATCGTAGGTGATCTAGGTGCAATAATAAAATATGTTTTAAGATATTATACATAATTATTGTTATAGTATGAATGAATTATTGTAATATTAAATTTAATACTTGAATAAATTGAAATTGAAATTGAAAATTTTAAATATTTATTTTACATAAAAACTTTGTTATTTCAAATACGATAACCTATTTTTTAAAATAAATCGAAACAGATTCAAATGATCTTTCAAACTACATATATTAGGGTGTCCTATACCTATCTAGCTCAGATTTTGAATAAAGAGCAATTTTTCAATAAAATGGCAACAAAGAGGGCTGATGTCGTCATGGCAAGTTTCTAGTGACAGTAGTTATTTTCAAAATCGAAATTAGTTTATGGACTTTATTTATTTATAGTAATTACTTTAATCACTAGTTGATTAAAAAAAGTGTACCATTAATATTGCAAATTATATTTTATCCTCTCATAGTATATGATATGTCTTTTTAATTTTTTGATTATGTAACTGCACTTTGTTTACTCACTTGTTTCGTCGAACTGCTTGAAACCATTTTTGCTTTTGATCAGATCGGTATGAGAAACTATGAAGCTATAAAATTTTGTTTCGGGAGAGTTGAATATCCGGGAAAGTTGTGTTATTGCATGTAATTGCACCCAACAACGCCCTAATTGCGCTCTCCTTTGTGCGTTAACATTTTTTCTGCAATTTTATTAACATTTTAAATTGTCACAACATAGCACGACGCCTAGTTCGAATTCTTTTTCATTTATTTTTTACTACCCGAAACAGCGTTACATCACACAAACCTCGTACCTGAGTGTTTTATCTCTTTTTTGTCTCAATAACTGCACTACCAAAAAACAAAAATACTTAAATATTATAACAAAACCACGATTACAATATTATTCTATGCAATCAACATGACGGCGACGTGAAATAGATCGGGATAATTTCTGATTTTTGCAATTGAAATGTTGCGGTAGGAATTTGTTGAAATCAACTGAAATGCACCAAGCCTATAATAATTAATAACTACTATTACATAAGCTGGTGCTTAATAAAACGGCCATGGTAAATGCTTCAGTATGCCTACGCGCACCTATTCCCCGTTTTAAAACTGTGCGCGTAGGATGCATCGCGGCTACCATCCTGGCGAGCAGCGCAGCCAGCATCTTGGCGAGCATCGCATCGAGATGCCTCACTATGTTTGCGCCCTTAGGATGTATCTGATCTTTCGTTTGTTTTTTTTTCTACATGTTTCGTTTGTTTTTTCTCTTTCTTTCGAACATGTTTAGACCTTTATTCATTTTGCTTGTGTTTCAATTAAGAATTTTAGGCGCACTTTCGAGTTTTAGTAATAATTATTTTAGTAACAAACAGATCTGAATTTTGTTTAACAGTGCAGTCGATTTTTAATTTTGACACTGACAGATATACGTCAACATAACCAAAAGTGTGAAATGACAGTTACTAGAAACAGTGTGTAGTGATTTAAGAAATGACTTATGGTGGGTTCATACTTTGAATATTAGTCCTAACCTTAGCCTTAACATTAACCCTAATTAAATTAATATTATGCTTGCGCTCATATGAAACATGCTAACCTAACTTCGCAAATATTTTTAAAATTTTGAATACTAGAGAGACTAATTTTTACTATTATAACATTTACTTGTTTGTGAACGATATTTTCTGGATCAAAAAATAACTACTTTATTAACATTTATAAACCGTCAAATCCAACATGTCGAATATTATTTAATTTTGTATTAATATTAGGCTCTAAGAATATAAAATATCCCATATTTCTTAAGACACGTTAGGGCTAAGGCTTATGTTAAGATCTATACGTTAGAAGCACGAACGCTAGCGTTCGTTAACCATGATTAATATTCTTGAGTTTAGGACTAAAATCTAGGTAGGACTAAGTTTAGGTCAATCTATTTCATCCTGTTTTTACGCGAAAGATAGAGTGCGGCAATATACAGATTGTTAATTGGACGGTTAGTTATTGGGAAACAGAATGGCAACACTGCCTACATTCCAAATGTGTACTAAGCTAAGCTGCCGACTCGTCCCGTCGCACAGTGCTTCGTCCCATGGACAAAAATCGAAAAAAAAGTTAAAATTTACTAATATCTGAATATGTAATTTTATACTTATAGCAATGTTCAACCATCCTGTATAATATTTTTCATAAACAGCGATTTTTGTTAGCAAATATTTTTACTAAAAATAAATTTTGCGATCATTATCTTATCAGTGAATAACATTCATAGTAGTTCTGTATATTATGGAGCTAAACGTTACGTACTTAATTGAAAGCCACTATGGATATTGTTAAACAAGGTATGTACTTTAAATTTATTTCTAAACAAGTTTGTGATTGTTTAGTTTTTATTTATTTTTTTAAGATGATTTCTAAACGGGTATAAAAATTTTACGTTTTCAAACTTCAAAAAGGCATTTAAAAAAAAACATATCAAAACATATCGTATTTATTGAATATTTTTGTTGTCATATTCATACACTTTTAATTTTTGTATAGTTCACCTGCGTCTGCTTGCGACGAACTTTATTTTATAATACTTTTCAGATGGAGTAAAATTGATAAGCAATGCCGATCTGGTTAATACTTACTCAATACTGGCTTGATCATAAGGACAAGAACTCAAAATTATTTGTATTTCAAAAAAGGTGTTCTTTATTAGATATTGATGAACCTTCCAGTCAAATGAGACACCACTTGTGCCTGAAAAAGCCCATTATGTTGGAGCGAAACGTCGCATAAAAAAGTTTCCATCTTTCAATTTATTATACAACCTCATACCCAAGAAAAGGAAAAAATAATATATGGATATGGTCTATTAAAGAGGTAACTATTAACATCCGAACCCCTCATACCAACAAAAAGAACAGTAACAACGCGAAAAAGTAACATATATTAGAAAATAATGTACAGAAATATCTTATATGTAAGCATACTTCATCTACCTGTGATTTCGATACTATAGATTTGGAAGATTCTGTCAGCAGTGATTCTTCTGAATCAGAGTAGTTACGATCTATGCATTTTGTTGTCCTAAAGTAAATTTATAGTATCTTAAGTTTTTTTTTAATTAAATATAATATTAATGTTTTTTTTTCATTAAAGAAAAACATTTTTATCTTATATTAGGCTTATATTGTAGGAATCATGTTCCAATGTTATTTCAATTCTTTTTTATCACAGGGATTTATTTAATACTTACTCCGTTTTCATACTATAAATTATTATTTCCTTAGATGGAACACAGCTCCAACATTTTTATTATTTATATGATTTTTTTCATAAACGTGGGACTAAGAACATCATCATTTAGTACAATGAGAGTACTCATCATTTGTGTCAAATAAACCTAGTTTGAATTAATTGCCTACAATAAAAGAGTAGTTTTGCATTTTTGTCCTCTAGAGTCATATGTTCGAAGCACTGTGCGTCACGTTGTCTCTCGACGAGCGGGCCGAGGTTGCCATATTTCACCCATAAAGCTCTTGCCGCGAGTAATAAACAAATTAACAACCTGTATATGACGCAACGTTGAACGATGGTAAAACATACGTGCATTGTTGCCAAACTATTAAAAAAGTATGTCTTTAGCAGTATTGAATACAAAATTCCAGTAAAGAAGTAACAAGAAATTGGTTGAAACTAAGAATTTTGTCTGGTTGCATGTTTAACAACCTTATCTACGGTCGAAAAAAAAGACATTAAATTACCTTAGTAATTAGTTCCGTATGATCGAAAAAAAACGGCGTCAAGTATGGCTGGGGAATGATTACCGATGATAATTTTGGCGTTGTCAATCTCTAGACGTCATTTACTAAATCTTGCCAAAAACACTAATTATAGAAAGGCAGAACGTTTCCAGACACACAAATCTCTTTGCCAAAAATTATTTTTTTTTGCGAATTTTAAACTACACCATTTAAAAAAAATCACCTTTACTAAATATAAATTTAAATTAAAACCTTTTTAAGGCCAACTGGCAGTAAGCGCCATTGAAAAAAAAACAGCACGGGCTAAGTTAATGACGTCTAGGGCTTAATCAACATCATCATCAATTATCATTTCCCAGCCGTCTTTGACGCCATTTTTTTTTTCGTTCGTATGGTATAATTTTACATATGAAATGTTGCGTGTGATTTGGTAAAATATAAATTATATATTTTTTAGATTTAGAGATCAGCTGCAGCGGGGTGTGGATCTAGCGTTAGCTCTATTTCACGTCGATATTGTATCATGTACAGTTGAACTACTTTCCCACATTCTGCCCCAAATACTGAACGTCGATTCGCATTCCTACACGCTTATTGAGCCACAACTCTCCTCCTTAGCATACTTAACATGTTATTGTTTATACACGGCGTGGGATTCAGTTGCAGAGGTAAATAACTGTCTAAAAGATATCATATCCGAGCCTGGGACTTGATTCTAAAATTTTTTATGTCGAAATTTATGTAAATGGCAACGTTGGGACGTTGATCCCTCTTACGGATTTTATCGGAACATGGATTTTATCGGAAACCGAAATCGTTGACTAAAAAGAGTAAAAAAGAAGTATATTCTGAAAATTAGCCAGACAGGGAAAGTACTTTAATATGGCCGACTTAAATTCTAGTTAATCAGTAGCGTTCTATTTTTTTAAACGTGTTAAAATATAAAATATGGAAGATTTAAGTCCTGACACAATGTTTTCCCCAGATTTATACATTTTACATAAACCACTTTATGAAATAAAATCCTTGACTGATTTATAATCTGCCACCAATTAATGATAATGAAATTATTTTTTTTGCACATAGAATGAGTCCTCAGACTTGCAACTATACCGGGTGTTTCTTAAAAGTGGCTCATCTTATAACTTTTATATTTTTTCAGATAAAAAACGAGATTTGGTACGTTGGTTGGCCACTTCCTGTTTTACCGGAAATGACTACTTTTGTTTTTTAAATGATACCCTAGTTATTTTTATATTTTACTACTACTACTACAGGGTGGGTCAATGGAAACTTTCCACCCCAATTTTTCCCGTTTAAAATTAAAATTTGGAAAAACGCCCGGACAGGTCAATTTAGTTTTCGAGGGGGAAAAAATATCATAAAATCATTTTCACACCTACAACCCCCAAGACGGGGCAGGCGCCAGCGCCTCCCCTAAATTCTTAAATGGAAAGGGGGGCCGAGTGATACCTCATGTGAAAGGTCTTTCAATTCCCTTTCTAATGATATAAGATATCATGTGCTTTCGTTCAGTAGTTTTAGAGATTTATTCATTTAAAGTAGATTTTAATTTATCAGCTAAGTGGTGAAAAAATCGGTTTTTATTTTTTTTCTTTCTGTATGTATTTTTTTGGCAAACTGTGTATACTAAAAATTAAGCTTTTAAATAAAAAAGCTTAAAATTTTTTTTTATATTTTAAAATTTCTAAAAATTTTCCCGGCCAAAATATTGAGCTTTTTTCACTCATTCCGAATTGAAAGATTTTTGGGCGTGGATCGATGCAGATTGATTAGTTAAAATTTTTAGTATACACAGTTTGCCAAAAAAATACATGATTTTTTCACCACTTAGCTGATAAATTAAAAAAAATCTACTGTAAATCAATAAATCTCTAAAACTACTGAACGAAAGTACACGATATCTTATATCATTAGAAAGGGAATTGAAAGACCTTTCAAACGAGGTATCACTCGGTCCCCCTTTCCATTTAAGAAATTAGGGGTGGCGCCGCCCCCGCCTTGGGGGTTGTAGGTGTGAAAGTGATTTTATGATATTTTTTCCCCCTCGAAAACTAAATCGACGTGTCCGAGCATTTTTCCAAATTTTTTAAACGAGAAAAATTGGGGTGGAAAATTTCCCACCCTTGGCCCACCCTGTATATAAAATTACACTCTGAATAGAATGACATATCATATGTCAACTTTTGATATTTTCGCATATGGTTTATTTGAAATTGTAACATGCGGTCCATAAAGACAATTTGACTCGAAAAATCAATGTGTGGTACCCAATTATTAGTAAAAAATGCTTTTTCCAAATATGCTAATGAGCCACCCTCGTTCCATTTGAAAACATTGAGATATGATTAAAAATACGATTTAGGCATCTTTTAACACGAAAAATATTAGACGATCAAATCTATTTTTCCAAGGCTCCTTGATTAAAAATTAGTTAGTTTAACACAGCCATGGCACTCTAGATTGAAGTTTAAAATACGATTTTTTTAAGCAAAAATGTCAAAAGTTGACATATTCTATGTCATTCTATTCAAGTCTCAGTTTCTATCAAACGAAGTAAAAAATACCGGGGGTGCCATTTAAAAATCAGATGTGTTAGTAATTTCCGGTGAAACAGGAAGTGACCGAAAACAAATGAATACGTCCTCGTATCCTAATTTATGTCATATACTAACAAGTCAAATCTGGTTTTTTTTATCCGAAAAAAAATAATAGAGGTGAGCCACTTTTCAGAAATACCCGGCATATGAACCAGGAGATCAAAATATATATATATTTTTAACAGACGGTAGAAGAACCTCCGGCTAAAATCCCAAGGTTGGATAACTCCGAGGATTGCAGTCCCGATAGTTCAGCAACGAAAATAATATACGCCTTCCTACAATTGCTGTCGATGTTTGAAAGGATGCAAGAAGGAGGGATCAAGCCTCAAACCTATTTTATATTCAATTTCGTCAAAGCGTTGGTCGAGGTCAAAATTCCGTCAGCCAATCCTCTCTTAGCTTACATTCCTCCCAATCTGATATCGGATTTACTGAAAACTTTGCCGGATTTGTTCAGTTATTCGGTATTGTTGCATCTGCACGACGTTTGTACCACTTCGGGCAGGATTAATATGGCTAAAGATTTATGTGTACTTCGGAATTACCACTTAAGGAAAATGTCGATTAGTATGAATTAAGAAATTAGTTTATAGGATATGTAAATGTACATTTTTAAAGGATATAAAATAAAAAAAAAATACTAAAATTTTTCAATTTTTCAATGGTAACAATTTGGTTTAAACTAAAAATAGCTATGCAGTGAATAAAAATTGGCGCCGGGAGGCATTTAAGCAAAATGTACCATTATTTAGTCCATAATGTGATTTTCCCTGCTCTCATTGGTTGAGACTAAACGCTAGTGCGTTTTGCCAAACATGACTAAAATGCGGTACATTTTGCCACGTCAGCGTGAGGCATTCCAAACGGATTGACATGACAACTTCGCCAAGAACACGCCGCCGTTATACGCTTCTCTCAAGTAGTTTTCATTAGACAGACGTTGTTTTTGTGTGTTTGAATAAACTTTAGCATTTTTAATTGATAACTACCATTACATCTGAAGGTTTGACGTATATTTTACCGGATCAATTTCGATACGGTGTAAAAGAAGTTTTGGTTTGGTAGCATTATTTATGCTCAGTGGCGGATACAGAGGGGGGGCCCATGGGGCCAGGGCCCCCTCTAAAATCTGTAAATTGTGTAAAATATTACGCTTTTGGGTTAAAAATGGCGCCCTAAAAAGCATATTCTACATTGCTTTTTATTTTGCCCCCCCCCCCTAAAATAAATTCCTGTATCCGCCCCTGTATGCTGAACTAAAAACAGCAGAAGATTGCGACTCATGAATTTCAGAATTTTCGCGACTAAATTCAGTTGCCTATATTGTACGGCGAACTTTTACTTTGTTTGGTTGCGTAAGATCCATAGGTTTAGGAAGAACAGATATCACATTGTGCATTTTAACCCGATCAAACAATCGGAGGTTGACTACGTACTGTAAAAACCAACTGAGATAGAGAAGGCGACATTGCCACATCTAAAATTTGCGCCTATCTACTTAGTTTGATTTGCAGAAAAGGTAACTTTAAAACCTTCACCGGATATCAATAAATCTCAATTTCTTAATTAAATTAATAGTTTATTTTTAAAGAAGCATGGGTAATAATATGTTATTAATCAGAGGATATATGCGTTACTATTAAAGGACATGTTTACTGTTTAATGTGCTAAAACGTCTAGAACTATTGGCAACGTTGCTGCTAGTCTTCCAGAATGAAAATGTGCCGTCCGTCCCACCACCCCTCGCCCCGGCCCTTGGTCCGTTATAGCGTACTACGTTTAGCTTACGGTGTGTTTGAAGTCGGAATCAAGTCCGAAGTGAACTTTTCAGTATTTTCAGTAGTTTTTGTTTTTGTTTAACGTACTTTTGAATCTGCGAATTTTCAATATGGTACGACAGTATCAAGTGTGTGGAAAAATAAGCTCAAATTACCCGAATTTGTCTTTTCACAGGTAGGTACAAATTTCCGCCGTAATTGTACATAGGCGTCCCACAAGGGAGCCCCTTACAATTAAAATAATTTCTAATTATATTTGTTGAATTTTGATCTATTAAAACAAGAACGTAGTAGCCGGTAATTGAATTATAATTCGTCTCAATTACTATCTAACCGTTGTAGATCATAACAAATTTGAATATAAACGTTGCATTTGAAACTTTATTCTAAGCCAGAAAGTGACATTTTTTTTCTTAAAATTGCGTCATATTTTGGTCATTATATACGATATTCTAAAGGAATTTTGCTCAACAAATAAACAAAGGTGTTTACCCGACCTTTTTTACATTTTACTACTTTATTATATCTGCCCCTTCGGCGTTGTTTAGACAATTTTTTACCACCGTATAAATACCTCTTCCTAGAGTTATTTGTACGGTGTGTTTACTTTTTTTTTAGAATGGGACGAACTGTAAATAATTTTTAGGCTACTAGTTTTATACATATTTATATACAGAGTGACCCAGGCCCCCAAAAAAGCTTTTTACCTATTACGTTTTTGGTTTGTGATTTTTATTTCAATTTTTTACATAAGATGGGGGCCATTGTAACGCACATTTTCAAAATATTTTTGTCAACATACAGGGTGATTCAAACCGCAATACATATGCTTAACCCTTAACTGGTCCGGCGTCGTCTGACAGACTACGCCAAATAATTAACTCATTCTTATTAATTGCTGGGACCGTCCACACGATTGGCGTTCCAGCTAATCCTTCCCCTCTCGGTCAATGACTGATAGCCATATTTATGCCCAAATTGGATTAGTTTTTTAGAAGTTCTGGCAGAAGTAACTTAAGCCGTAGTCTCTCAGACTACGCCGGACCGTTTGTGTAAGATTTTTTGTGTGACAAACTTTTGTAAAATATGGCCGGGCCTTCGAAAAGAGTGCGTTTAGGAGACTCTAGTTACGAAGAAACTCTTATAAAATGATATGATGAAAACTGTGACAGTGACAATATGACAATCTGCCAGACAAATGCGTTTGACAATGTCAAATATTCCACGAGAAATACGCTTTACAAATGGTAGAATACTTGCAGTTCCTGTACAAACAGAACACGCCTACGGAGATATTCTTATCCTAGAATTATTATACTAGTTAAAGACAATGTTTTGTCTTAGTTAATTATTTTTAATGTCTATAATGTACGAATCCATTGTGTAAAACATGTTCAGGAAAACAATGAACTTTGACACATGCTGTAACTAAAAACTTTTTCTTAAAATAAGTTAATAATAAGTAATAATAATTTCTTCTCTTTTTATAAAAATTTGTTATTTTTTAGTTTTTGTGTTTTTTTAACTTTTTAGAAGGCGTAGTCCTACAGACTACGCCGGACCGTTTATGATACATATCTATTACCGGACCAGTTCAGGGTTAATACAGTTCATGAAGATTGAGACATTTAACTAAAATTTGATTGTCTGATAAAGCTACCTTTAAAAGTAATGGGTTTGTAAATAAACGTAATATTCATTATTATGTGACAGAAATCCCATACTGTAGCACACAGATTTGATACTTTCAATAAAAATGCCTTCTATTGAGAGACTAAAAGGTAATTGCTTCGTATCAAAGCCATCATAATACAAGAAGAAGACCGAAAGTCAAATCTTGTCTTATATTTTCAAAAAAACACAATTTTCTCATTAAATATTGATTTTAGGTATAGGAAGTTATTAATAATACAAGATTAAACAACTATTACACAGTACTTCACAGGAAGCTATCGATTGCGAACTAACTAAATCGTTACTAATTACTAATTTTGAAAAGTTCTTTTTAAGATCAAAAAGGTAAAACTAAAACCTAAACTATCATTTGAGATTAAACGGGAAGTTCTAAATAATGTTGCCTATTCTAAACAAGAAAAATTTATTTATAAGTTTTATAACATCTCTAATTAAATATTTCTGTTTGCTGTAGGTAATTTTCTCAGGGAAAATACGTAAATAAAAATAACTTTTTAAGTCAAAAAAAGTCAAAAGGACAAGTTATTCCATAAAAGGACTGTCCTTTTCAAAAAAGGACAGGTGGGAACCCTAGGTATTTCTGGAATGGAAGTTTAATGGCAAATCTACAACTTTAGTTTGAAAATATGTTCCGGCCACCTATGTTTACAAAAATGTCTAAAATGTGCTGCACCATTGCCTCCATATTCTGAAAAAAATTGAAAGAAAAGTCACCAACCACAAACCTAATATAGAACTGTTTCAGAAACTTGAGTCACCCTGTAAATATTCAAAAGTAACTGAAAGTTTATATAGAAGTAACTGAAAGTTTAAATTGAAAATCGACGTTGGAACGATTTTCGAAAACTACCTACTAACGTTTCAACATAAGTATATATGTGATATTAATTATATTATTATATTAGACCTTATAACAAAACTCATCTGACGAAAAAGTGTTAATGAAGTATATTAATATGGAGTAAAAATTTTACTAATTATTTTACTTTTATTTTACTAATTAAATTCCTTCCAAAAAACGATACGCCACTGGCCAGGAGAACAATCCAAATGCGCCTAGTTGCCGGGGTCGGAAATTTTAGACTTCCCTGTCTCTTCTGTCCTTGTTTGACACATTGGAATGTTTGATACACTTCCAACGAGTATTTATGAATGAGATGTTCGGTCTATCTTTATAATGTCTTTGGTAAGATCCATATCAAAGTTATATTTTTTCTTATGGAACACCCAGTATTTTATTTCATTTTTGGATTCTTGGGCATAAAATAAGGCATAAGGTTTAATATGTTTAGATGCTTTGGTTTTTGAGATATTTAAAGACATTTAAATATGCATGCTCTAATAAAAAGTTTGTCAACACCCTGTACATTACTTTTCAGATTTTATTCTTGTGGTGTCTTTCAAGCCAGAGAAATTAACTTTACTAAAACAATGTATTGCTTTCTTAAATGTATACAGGGGTATCAAAAACTGCTGGTCTATTTTAAATATTTATTTTACATAAAAACTTCGTATATAGTAGATAAAACTTCGTTATTTCTATGTATGACGCAATTTTTGATACCCCTGTATATATTTAAGGAAGCAATCAAATTTTTTAGTAAGGTTCATTTCTCTGGCTTGAAAGTCAGCACAAGAATTAATTCTGAAAAGTAATGTACAAGGTGTTGACAAACTTTTTTATCATAGCATGCATATTTAAATATCTTTAAATATCTCAAAAACCAAAGCATTTAAACATATTAAACTCTTATAATAAATGCCTTATTTTATGTTCAAAAGTCCAAAAATGAAATAAAATACCTGGTGTTCCATAAGAAAAAATATAACTTTGGTATGGAACTTAGTTCTGACACACCTTGTACATTTCAAAATAATTTTAAATTATGTATATTGACTTCCCACATATACCTGTCTGTGTTACAGAGACGCCACGACACACGGAAATCAAACAAACAATTTTTCAGAAGTGTCAGACTAATATTTTTATAAAATAGGCGATTTCTTAACATTTCACGCTGCGCTGGCGCTGGTCCTAAAAAGACGATCAAATATTAAATAGGATAATTCTGTGGTCATTCCTAAAAATCAAAGATTTTAATAATGGCGTTTATAACATGTTAGTGTTATCTGCTGGAAAGAATATGGCAGAATTATATTATATAGAATATTTTAGTCACTGCTGGCAAAACGCACCAGCGTTTAGTCTCAACCATAGACAAACTAACAAATGTCTATGGTCTCAACCAATGAGAGCAGGGAGAATCACATTAACATTATGGACGATATAATGGTACATTTTGCTTAAATGCCGCCGGGAGGGACGTATAGCCGCCCATACTAAAATATGTTAATAAAAAGTGGGTAGGCAGTTCTTTTAGTTTCAAAGTAAAGGAATTTTTTCAATTTTTTTTTATCTCAAAAACTGCGACTTTGACTGATTTTGATGTTATTACAAATTTTGTTGCAAATATTATTCCTAATCTTAAATTGAAAACCGCGTTTCGCTAGCTACTGTGATTTTGGAGTTACGATTTTTTAAAATTTTTAACCCTCTCTCATACCCCCTTACCAACCCCCCACCCCCACCAAAAACTAATAGCCAGATTCTCGGGTGTCACAGTATTTTTGTGCCAAATTTGGTTAAAATCACTTTAGCGGTTTTTGAGATATCGTGTTACACACACACAGGGGCGGATACAGGAATTTATTTTAGGGGGGGCGCCAAAATGAAAAGCAATGTGGAATATATGGGAATATGCTTTTTAGGGCGCCATTTTTAACCCAAAAGCCTAATATTTTACACAATTCACAGACTTTAGGGGGGGCCGGGCCCCATGGGCCCTCCCCCTGTATCCGCCCTGCACACACGTGTGACAGACAGACAGACAGACACTATGAAAATATTTTGTATTTAGGTCATTTATGACCCAAATAACTCATTTTGAGTGAAATTAAAAAAACTTTTTTTTGCCGATCTTAATAGCCTACCATACCTATTGGTATGGTCGGCTAAAAATATGTTCTGTGGTAACGTCTACAGGATATTTTGATTTGAACTTTACATCCCACTACTTTTTACAAAATAAATTTGAGAATTTGAGTAATATTCAAAAGAACAACTTGAATATAAATTGTTCAAACAATTAAAAGTACATTATCTACTCTTATTAGTTATAAATAATAATTAATTTAATATCAATAATTGTCAGACATCCTATTTTTTTTCTAAAACTTTACTTTTATTTAAAAAAAGGTGAAGAGCTATATATTGTATTACTTCGCTTTTTATGATGATTTTTTACAAGTTATTAAATATTTCTAAAAATATGGTCTGTTTTATATAGAGTGAGTTGGAAGTTGAGTTAAGAATTAGTGCAAATATTTTCAGGGTTGGCAAATCTCGATAAAAGAGACATATTTTCTCTTTACCATTGTTCAAATAAGTCCAAAATAACGCGAGTTATTTTACTTTCAAATTAAAAAAAAACATTTCTTGCATAAGTTTTTACTGATCAACAGACTATGTTTTTTTAACTTAAAATTTAAAAAATACAAAATTTGAAAAAATTCTAAATTTACGCGAAAAAAACTTATAGATGCGTTTCTAGGGTCAAAATATACCCCTCCTAAAATTATTTGCACTTATTAAGACTCACCCTGTATAGTTTCTACCGTATGATCGAAAAAAAAATGGCGCCCACATTGATGACATTCCCAATATGATTTTAGCTATAAAAATACAACGTAACGTTCTTTCTTTCTAGGCAACATTTTTTATTCCGATAAACATTTATCTACATAAAAACTGATATAAAACGTCGAATTTTGTCCCAAACGAATCTGGCAAAGATCTAATCGGCAGGCCAAGTCTGCAGACCAAAATACGAGTTTTGGTAAGTGACAGGCCAAGTCCGCGTACTAAATCCGCAGGCCAAGTCTGTTGGAAAAACAATAAAATTAATTCAAAAAAATATATTTTTTTATATTCATTTTTATCATCATTAAAAAAAAAACAGATAAAATTGGAGATATAGGGTAAAAAAATGATTCATTAGGAAGCAAGAAAGAGTAGATTTTGTTGGACAAATTTAATAAGGCGAAATTAAAAAATATTTACTTATAAAAACACAAATTCTTTATTATCAACATTTATACTATAAAATATAATATAACTATATATTATATTTCGTTATTCCTGAAAATTAGAACTTAACTAAACAAAAATTATCACAGTTTTTAAAATACAGACAAATCTTAAGTTTGACTATCTACTACTCTTATGTTTATCATGTTTATGTTTCTTATGTTTATCTTTTTTGTGTTTCTTGTGTTTTTTCTTTTTGCTTTCATCTTTTTCTACCCATTCATCATCACTATACGAGGTTACAAAAACTGTGTTGTTACTTCCTGGTTGGTTTGCTGGCAATTTTTGTGGTATCTTTGGACCGTACAAGTTCAAATCTGTAGTATTTGTATCATTTTCTACTACAGTTTCATTGTTTGTAGGTTCCTCCGTTTTTGGATTGACCGTAGGCTTTCTAAAAGCATGAAAGTTTACTCCAGATAAAATTCCTTCTTTCATGGGCTTTATTTTTGGTAAAAGATTATCCGATAAAACTGTCGACTTTAATTCCTCACTCCTGGATTCTTTACTGATGTTTTCTTCTTCAGGTTTTTCCTCTGTTTCATCTTCTGATTCATCACTACTTAAGAAAATAGCTTTAAATAAGTCTTGTTTCTGGTCTAAGTTCAGTTTTTCTGTTAAATCTATTGACACATCATGTATTTCATTGCTTTCTTTTACTTCTTCTGGTTTAGATTCCTCATCATTAATTACTATACTGGTTTCAAGTTCTTCTTTGATGACACTTTCTTCCTTTTGGTGAGATAACCCTGGTTTCAACTCAGTTTGTTCCTCAGCATGTTTCTCGTATTCAAAAATGAGATTTTTCGTTCTTGTTCTTTGTTTAGTGGGTCGGCTAAAAAAATTTTAAATTAAAAATATTTATAAGATATAATCAATTATATAGCTTACTCTACAAATGGCTCTGGAACATTGAATTTTTTGCAAAGCATCGAACAAGGAATCCAATCAGAAGTAACACGTGTAAGGGGTCCAAACATTTTCATTCTTGCAGCATCTCGCATCTGGTCAGTGCCATGTATGGTGCCCATTTTTTCTAGTGGTTGTAAAATATTTCCCATATCCTCATTCTTCGAAGAGGAGACAAATTTGTCACTCAAATAAATTGAAGTAATATCAAATGCATTTCTAGTCTCAGTCTCGTTCTTAGTCTCAGCGACCTTAGTTAATTTAGTTTCTTGCTGTTTTTTTACACCTTTTTGAGGATTTAGTGGAGAAACTGACTCAGTATATTCTTTATCAGTCTCTTCTCCTAAGTATTTTGCTCTTACAGCTGCATTAATTTTACCAGTTTCAACGGGTTCTTCAGGTAGAGGCTCGAATCTTGATTTCCTCACTTTATGCTCACCTGTAAAACTATGCGGAATTTTTGGAGGTGGAAAGAGTTTTTTATTTAGTAATGGAGTTTTAGAAGGTATAAACATATCAAATACTAAATTTGATTTTTTTACAGATTCAGCTTGTTTTTTTTCTTCAGAAATTTCAAAATCATACTTGTTCATATCATCTTTCATGTAGATATCGTCATCCTCTTCTTCAAACGCTCCAACACCAAATGCTTGCCCACTTATGGAAACTTTTTTGTTTGATTTATCTATAACATTAAGTTTTGAAGAACCAGGCTCAGGAAATAAACTGAATGTATTTTTATTTAATCCTTTGTAACCAAGTCCAAAAGTATTGCTTTTGGGATTTGAAAGGAATTCTTTGTATATTTCTGGAACTTCATATTTATCATGATTAATATCTTCAGATATGTCATACGCTCTATTAGGCATCTGGCAACCATATACTTTAGTTTCTGATTGTAGTTCTTCTTGCCGGCGTCGTATTTTATCTTTTACTCCTAAGTTCTTCAGTAACATATAGCCAATTGTTTCATTTCCACTGGTTATGAGATGATGGAGTACAGGCTCACCAGGAATTGGTCCATCAGAGAAAACTTGTTTTTTTCTTTTTTTGCTTGTATTGTACTCGTCGGTAGCCTTAATAACTTGAGGTGCAATTCCATGTTCGCCCATATCTTCCTCGTCCATAAAATCTTCCGGTTTTTGAATATAGTTTTTTGCTTTTTCGGAACGCGAACTTTTGAATTCATTTGGCAGCCATCCTTCCAAGGAACCCACCGTGTTAAAGAAACCGGCAGAAAAACCACCCGTAAATGCTCCGTGAAATCGTCTACGCCCTTGTGCATCGGTAGCTATTTGTTCTTCAACAGTTATGGGGCGTTTTTTTGGTATACAGTCTAGAAAAATATTTATGTTAATATTTTGAAAAAATTTGTAAAGACTTAACATACCTTCATCGTACGGATCTAAAGGTATTCCATAGTAACAAAAGTGTTCTTCTTCAGAATCGGACATATTTCTAAAATAATACTTTTTTGGAAAATATTAATAAAAATTGAATAACAAAAATCCATATACAATGCAAAAATCCAGAGAAATAGCAAAAATCACAACAATCTGTCAATTTTCAACATAACCAATCTACTTCTTTTTGAATTTTTGTGTTCTGAGCAATTTATGGTTCTACTTCTGTGGCAGTAGTTTAGTTTTAAAGCCACAGCTGCCAGAGCTATCCGGCCGAAGGTACTTTTTACAAATTTTGATGAAAAGATGCTACTTAAAAAGAGAAAGAAGAATTTCTTCTTTAATTTCTATTGTAAATTTTACGTATGGTGTGAGTTTGCCAGATGTACAATGACTAAATTAATAGAAAGATCAAAGAAGAAGAGCAGTTCCTAACCCAACTATTATTTGTCAATCAATTTCTTTCAAATAAAATTTTAGATAAATAAAAAATCATGTTACAAATCCGGAATAATGCATTATTGTTATGTATGTAGTGTTAAATATTATTTATCGGAAGTTTGTTTAACCGAAATTACATTTTAGGTAGGCTGTGTGTACAAAAACGGAGTTTTTCGTTTACTTCTCAAAACAACCTAAACCAAAAATACCGCAAGGAAAAGAATTTGCCCCTGAATCCCAATGCGTCCGGAATCTTAACAGACGGTCCCGATTTTAGTTATTTAGACGGTCGTTTAACTCCTTTAACTCAGGGTCAAAAAAGGAGAGTATTGGGACAGGAAAAAGTAAAGAGGCAGATTATCAGTTTATCAAAAGAAATCGATTTTGCTGTGGAATATCACAAACAATTACAGGACAAAGAAGCAAAGGAAAAAGCGCAAATATTAGAGAGAAAATTGAAACCAAAAGGTGTAGAGTTGCTGAAATCAGAATGAAATATACACATTAGTTTATGTTGTTAGGATAGATTTGAAAATATAAAAAAGTTAAGTAACATAGACTTTATTTATTATTTATTTATTTAAAGAGAATCTTCTTTTATTATGTTATTTATCCACTCATAGTAAGTAGAAACACGTGAATATACATTAGGATGCTTCTTTGTAGCTATACCACACTTGTTCGTGATAAAAGAAGCAATTCCAACTTGCATATCATCAACTAAAAGAGCTGTTCCAGAATCTCCCTAAAAAAATAAAATGTATTTTATGTTTTATTAAACTCTTGTTGATTAGACTTACATTACAGGCCCCTCCTGACAGGGCTCCAAAACAAATATGGTGTACATTGTTCATAGAAGCTCCACAAGTCTCATCATCATAAATATCTACCTCCAGTTTTTGAAGAACTATTGATATAGGTTTGTCATGCTATAAAAAAGGTTTTAATTTTATTTTATATTTGTACTAAATAACATACCCCTGTTTTGCCCCAACCAATAATTAATCCATTTTGTGGTTCTGCTGTTACAAAGTTTTCAGCTAGTTTTACAGGCTTCCAGCTCTCGTTATCAGGAAGCGGAGATTCTAGCTAAAAATATACAAGGATATACGTTTGCAATTCTTAAATTTTTGAAAACAACCTCTAATACAGCAGAATCGTATATGAGGGCCTCAGAGTTGAACTGATTGCAATAAATTTTTGATATATTGATTGTGTTTATTGGTTCAGGAAATATTTTGTTAAGGCCATACTGAATAGAGTAATAACTGCTATTTCTTGGTCTAAAAAATAATTTGGGTATTTGGAATTATTTAAAAATGTTTTTTTTTATAAGTATAATTACTCTTGGTTGTTACAAACACAGTGAGCAGCGCTTAGAATGTATTTTTCGTTTAGAATTGTGCCGCCACAAGTGTGACGGGATTTATATCGTAGAGATACCTGTAAAGATATAAATTTTCTTAATATTAAGTAATTTTTAGTTGTATTTACTATGTCTAAAGAACAGGTACTTACTGCGAATGGAAACTCTCCTTCTTCAGCGTCAGTTCCATTAACAATTCTGGGAGAATCTGAAAAAAAAATAACTTCTTTATATCATAAAATTTACAATAGGTATATAGGTACCTAATTATAACATAATTAAGATAAATATTTTACAGAAAATATAGTAAGCCGAAAAAAGTGGGCAATATTTACGACCAAAGAGAATAAAAAATAGTAAAGAATGATTTATTCTTTGCTTATATCCTTGTATACAGGGTCCGGCAATAGTGCGTCGGGCATCTGTAGCTCCTAGACTGTGTCCTAGAATAAAATACTTAAGAATTTTGTTTAAGTGCAAATCTAAAATATGTTCTAGGATATATTCCAGGAAATTATTTTAACTTCTATAGGGTGGCTCAAAAAAGTGTGAGGGATGATTTTTTTTTAAACGGAACACCCTATATATTATTGCATTTTTGGCTTTTTTTCAGATAATTTTACATAATTCTAAGATATGAGTAAATATATTTCGATAGTTTCAGAGATATTAATAAGTAAATAGAAAATATGTTTTTCAGCTTTTCTTAAAAAAAAATAAAAATATAAGAACTGTCCTGAAATCAAAACTATATTAGGTATTTACTTTAGATGGTCTGTACTTACCTTGCTATAAATATGGTAATCGTAAATCATACAGGATGTTCAAAACTGTAAAAAAAATATAAAATAACTTTTCTTCGTCTTTTTTTTTAAATGGAACACCCTGTATATTACTTTTTAAATAGATGGAGAATTAAAAAATGAACATTTTTTGTGTTTAAGAGTATATTTTAGAAAGTTTGGCGTAGAATTTTGAACATTCTGTATAATTTAAGACTACGATATTTATAGCAAACTTAAGTATAGACCATCTAAAGTAAATATCTAATATAGTTTTGATTTCAGGACAGGTAATAATTTCCTTAATGAAGTTTGAAAAATAATTTTTTTTATTTATTTATTAATATCTCTGAAACTATCGAAATATGTTTATTCACATCTTACGATTATGTAAAGTGATCTGAAAGGAAGCCAAAAATACAATAATATACAGGGGGTTTCATTTAAAAAAAATAATGTTTGATGTGACACAACTTTATGACCGACCCTGTATACTTAAATTTACTAGTAGCTAATAGGAATTTAAAAACCCATTACAACAGTATCACATTTTCGGCAGAATGGCATCATTGAATCAAATCAAACACATCGAAATTAATTAAATCGAATTGTTTAAGTAATATTTTCTAAAGTCAAATAACTCGGAAACGGTTGGTTTGAAGTACATTGTGTGATTTCGATTTTTGCTTAGAATTGAAGGAAGAATTGAAATATGTAATAATATACAGGGGGTTCTATTAAAAAAAATAAACTTTGATGTGCCACGACTTTATGAACGACCCTGTATACTTAAATTTATTACTAGCTAATAGATATTTAAAAATACTATAACTTTTGTAGTTAACTTTTTGCGATACCTCCTATATTTTACCTAATAATCGACCGTTTCCATATACATAAAAGCGACCCTGTATTTTTAAAGTTAATGGATATAACTTGGCTTTCTTCGACGACTTCTTTGAAGACGTGAATATAGCAACACAAAATAAATCTTCTAAAAAACATTTACAACGATTTTCAATTGTTTTTATTTGTCAACTCTGTTGTCAATAAAATGAGTTTTTCTGCATTTCAGTTGATTTTAAAAATTACGGCAGAAATTAGTGCCCCATTAAAGTATTTCACGCAGTTCGCAGTTTCGTTACCGTTCATGTCGATCGCATTGAAACAATATTAAAACCGCGGCTTTGTCATATTTAAGTATTTTAGTTTTTACTAGTTGGTTTGTGTCATGTAACGCTTTTTCGGGTAATAACAATTAAGTGAAAAATAACCCGAATTGGGCGTCGCGTTGTGTTGTGACAATTTTAAATGTTAATAAACTTGCCGAAAAAATGTTAACGCGTAAAGGAGGGCGTAATTACGTGGTTGTTGGGTGCAATAACATTCAATAATTGAATTTTCCCGGATATTCATCTCTCTTGAAACAACATTTTTGAGCTCCACAGCTTCACGCCCATTCATCAAAAGCAAAAATGGATTCAAGCAGTTCGACGAGACGAGAAGTGAGTAAACACAGTTCAAAAAATTAAATAGGCATGTAAATAAAGAGGATAAAATATAATTTGCAATATTAATGGTATACTTTTTTTAATCAGCTAGTGCTTAACACTTTTATGAAAATCTAAAATTATGATAATGTACCTTTAAAATTTTTTGTTATAGGCGAAATAGCCCCAATTATGACCCCACTAGCAAAACCGATGATTAAAACTATGTTCGCTACCGTAGTTAAACTCACCTTAAAAGTTTTATTAGCTTGAATAATAAATTATAATACAAGTCAGATCTTCTGTAGATATCAAAATATTTGCTTTTTTATTTTTATTTTTAGAATTTTCACAAATTATACCTACTTCCTAACACTTTTAGAATAATTAAACAATATTTTTTTTCTCCAAAAAATCCTATACGGGTATTTCGCCACTGCATTGCAAGAAAATCTACAAAATAAAATAGTTATTTTTTGTAAACACTTCTGCGTTAAACCCAAATGGAAACTACTTGTCAGAAGTTATGTTTACAGTTATACAAATTTGCCTAACAAAGAAAATATGCTTAACGTTTTTTTTAAATACACACTATTTTTTTAATAATTTTTTTGTATACTCGCTATATATTTAAACCCGTGTATTTGTATATACCAGTTGTTTACGATATTCCCCGATGGTGGCAGGACCGGCGGAGAATGCACCAAGTCTATACTTAGGTTTATTTTTTCGAAACAGTTATAAAGTGTTTATAAAAAAATATTTACCTTGGGCTTCGACTGCACACACTATAGCAACAGTGATTAAAAAGACCACAAAGTGATAATGGTTCATCATTATATTTGTTTTATACAGAGATTATATATTAACTCAAAGATAGTCAAAGTTGCAAAAACGAGCTATGCGATTTGGAACTGAAAAATGTCGTGTTATATATAAAAATTGTGGATTAATTTGAATTTATTTGGGTCAGAAATTGGCGGGAGGTCTATGCAAAAGTAATAATTTGAATATCAGAAAACATCGCGGTGCACTAATAGATAGTAAATTTATTTTTGAGGTCTTTTAAGTTAACTATGAGAACTTGACCTAAAAAGTGAAATAATAAAATGATATCAAGATTTCCATCTGATAGGTGGGGGCAAATTAAGGTCTCATAAGTCTCATCAGTCATGCATAATTAAATACACACCATTATTATCTTGGTAAATATGTAGATTGGAGCGGTAGGTACTTATATTTAAATTTGTTTACTAGTAAATTATTTATGTATAAGCGATGCCAATTAAACTTTTCTTACGTAATCGAGGGCGCGATTTTTAAATTCATTGTTGCCAACCATGCACGTATTCGGCGCCGGGCTGATTAACTGGAATTTAAATTTCCAGCTGGGGATTCAGGCTGTAGCTCTGCTGTAAAAAATGTCAAGTTGCCACATTTATTTATTTATTTTCTGACATTGTCATTCGTTGTGACACTTTAGTTTTGTATTACGAGTTTTTGGTTTAAATGAATTGTGTTGTGATACTTTAAGCTTAATTTTTTTTACTAGCGAACCTTGCAGTCGAACATTGTTTTTTTAGAACCTCTTTTAGTGCGTAGTGTACAGGGTGGGTCAAATTCGACGCTTTTAAATGGAAACACCCTTTTCTATAGGAGATAGACAAAAACTAATATCGGTGTCTGGAGTTCAATCCAAAGCATTTTTTTACGTAGAATTTAATGGTTTAAGTATAATTTTTTTAAAATTAATAATTTAAGAATTATCAACAGAAAATTTGATTTTTTATATGGGACACCCTGTATATTTTTAATTAACTGAAAAGAATTTAAAATTACATTTCCAAAAATATAGCACACTTGATATTTTGTTATAATCCCCTTCGAAATACAGAATTTTTAAAAGTTCGCCACTTTTAACTAGTAGGCTTTGGACCCCTCATTGATGATATGCCCTTAATGGAACTCGAAAACATATTTTTCCAGCAAGACGACGCACCGCTTCTGAACGCTAAAGTTATCGGCAAATTTCTGCAGCCATATTCAAGAATAATTGAATAGCTGACCAAGCACCCAGCCGTTGGCCGTCGAGGCCGCCTGACTTAGTGCCCATGGATCTAATCCTATGGATATATTTGCGGAAGAATAAAGGTTCCTTATTCTTCTGTATAATCTAGACAAGAATTAGAAATACTTAGCAGTTAGGAGAGGGTATATTTCACCCCTACTGAGTTAATGAATTCCGCGAGAAATGTTCAAAAACTGCCCCGTCTGTCCATAACAGAAGACGGTCGATATGTCGAACACCTGTAGCAAAATCTTATGTCCTGGTTTGCTATTTATTTTTATTGTTATTAGATATAGTTTAAATGTGTTGATGTTGGTTAAATATATTTTAAATTGTTATAAAATTCTGCATCTATCGTAGCAAATATTATTTTCGTTTTAATTGATGCTCACAGCTAGAATTTTTTTACATTACAGCCGGTGCCGTTCAAAGCCTACTTATTTAAAGCGGGCGAATTTTTATATACTCTATATCTCGAAGAGGGATCGAGCAAAATATCAAGTGTGTTATATTTTTGAAAGGTAATTTTAAATTCTTTTCAATAAATTAAAATATACAGTGTGTCCCATATAAAAAATCAATTTTTCTGTTGATAACTCTTAAATTATTAATTTTAAAAAAATTATACTAAAACAATTAAATTCTACGTAAAAGGTGCTTTGGAAATGTTTTCATAGAAATACAAAATTTTCCATAGCAAAAAAGTTACAGCGATTTGTTAAAAAATGCACATTTTTGAAAAACACCCCGTAACTCCGAAACGGTAACAGATATTGATGTGCGGTTTTCACCATCATGTTTTTGATGAAAATTGAGCTCCAGACACCGATATTAGTTTTCGTCTATCTCCTATAGAAAAGGGTGTTTCCATTTAAAAGCGTCGAATTTGACCCACCCTGTACAAGATAGCTTAATAGCTGTTGCAAAAAACTCATCGCAACCTTATTTTGAACGGGGAAGCGGTAGTAATGGCCCTTTATGTCCCTTAGGTGCTGCTAAGGAGGTGAGTTTTGTTGATATATACATATTTATAATTAATTTATTTTTGTTTCCTAAAATATTTTGATTAAAAGAAAATATGTAAAAGTGGGCAACGCTGTGCCGGTCATGCTTAATCATCGGTGTGTCACAGTCTTGAATTTTTACTCCCAACGCGCGTAAAGAAGTTTCACTCACAGTGAACAAGAAACTTTGGAAAAAAGTTGCTTTTGAAGTAATAGTTTAAACATCAACGTGTTATTAGATTAACATTTTGATAGTCTCAGCAACGTTTTTTATCCCATTTGATTGCTTATTCAAAAAGTGTCTATTACTTGAAGAAGCGGTTTGTATAACTGGCCACAATACAAACACCCAGCTTGATGCATAACTTTTTTTGGTGACACCCTGTAGAACTCTATATCTTTTTTTAAAATGCTTTCAATGAGGAAGATGCATATATTTTATTTTTTGCAAGAAACTGTTCAATTTATTAGAATAAATATCTATAAATGCAAAAAAACTTTTTTCTTGAAAGCAATACTACAATTTTATAAAACGGGCCATTAGAATACTATGGATAACGCAAACGACGCCTCGCGAATTGAAACGATATTCTATTGGTCTGACGTCACCCGCCGTTCTAGTCGACGCGCGATGGCCAGCAGCAGCCAGACGTGAGCCAGACGTGTTCCGTTTATGTACGTATTTAGGTGGCGTACTAAGACATTTTTGTTGCTTGTAGCGTTGATTGAAGGAGCTTTTTATGCTTTTTTGTGCAGTTATTATTTGTATGTGTTGTATGTTCTGAGAATTTTTTTAAGTAATGGCAGATTCCGGGTTTGTAAAAGCACAATCAGATAACTTGGAGGCTGCTTTTATAAATACAAATTCCTAATTTATTGGTGCTGAATTACGAGGAAAAAACAGAGAGGTATGTAACATTTATTCTTTGTAGTACTGAGGCATATTTAAGTATAAGTAGGTACCTACTGTTACGAACTTTTATATAGTTATAAATTAATGTTATAAACTTATTTTTCAGATCAGGTAGGGAGACGTATGGAGATAATGCTTTAGGTAGGGTTCCCAACTTGAGCATCGGCGATTCCGGGACTATTATTTTTAAGTTTTTAAATAATTGAAACAAAACGTTAAATATTAGAAATTCAAATATATTATATGTAAATGTGATTTTTTTGGTCCCGGCCAAGGCAAAATTTTCGCCGGGACAAACTTTTTGATTCCTGGTTAATCCCGGTTAAACCGGGACGGTTGGGAACCCTAGCTGTAGGTTATGTAGAAGTGAAAAGAGACAAAAATATTTGTTTAGTACTTGGAAAAATAACTCCAGAGAAAAAGAAAGTTTTTTTTTATATATTGACACCCCCTTACCCTTGTTATTTTTGAAGATTGTTTTACGAAATTATAGGAAATAAATTGTTTATCAGTAAATATTAATAAAGTAAATATTATACAAGGTGTCCCATAAGCAAACGCCAAAATTAAGTTACTTTTTCAAGTGAAACACCCTATATATTTTTGGATTTTTCGCAAATTTCTAGATATTCTAGATATATTTCATGTATAATATCCTATACCTATCTTCAAATGTTTACGAAATATTGACAGTTGAAAAGCGAAAAATACCTACAATTTTCTGGACCATCTTTTTTGAGATACCCTGTATAACTAGAATTCATTTTAAAAGACAGTATATGAAAAACCATGCAACTTTTTTATTTAATGTTTTCTTCTAAAACTTGCAGTTAAGGCTGTAAGTGGGTGTCAAAATATAATGAATAACCCTGTACATTCAAATTTCATATACCTATGTAAGACAATATACATAAATATATGACTTTTTGGCCCCTTTTTTCCGCTACTCGTATTTTTGTTTATAAATATATGAACTTACATCAAAATGATCTTCACAACAATAAATCGTAAAAATAGAGGATAATTTAACGTTTATCTTTTCATCTCTTCTCATGGCCTTGGACCATTTTTTTCTGTTTTCGCTCATCCATTACTATTTATAAATATCACTAATTACTAATTATGTATTAATTAGCACAAATAACTAAAATTTTGACTCGGATTCAACAGCGTTTAAAAGTAAACTGTGTAAAATAAACAGGCGTCTGGCTCCACTCAACCAGAAGAACGGCGGGTGACGTCACAGCGGCAAGGCGCGTTTGCCCGGCCATTTAAATTAACAATATTTAATTATTTTATATTAGAGGCATTTCTTAACCGATATCAACGATTTTTTTTTGTTCAATTTGTATGAACTATTTTTTAAAACCATTATTTAAAAACATGCATTTTCCTCATTAAGCCACATATGCTCTTTTTTTATTATAACTCTGATGTTATTATTTGATGCATGTCTTCTATACATAAAAATTATTTTAAGTACAAAAAATTTCTCAATTTCCATCCAGTCGAAGCAGAAATTTCATAATATAATATACAGGGTGGTCCGAATTGTATTCCGGAAACTTCGGCAGCATATTCTGCAAATAAAAGTAAGTAAAAAAGTTCGTATAAATGTATGTTCTAAAATGTTTGAAGAGTGAACAGTAAAACTGGTTTGAAGAGTAACAAATTTTTAATACCTACCATCATTGACATAAATTAAACATATTGACTAAATAGTTATTAGACTGAAATCATAAATTTGAAATGTTTTTGTGTCAAAAGGTCAACTGAAATTGTTTTATCATAATTTTTCCAAAAAAAATTATGATTAATTTAAAAAAATAAAAAGTTCCCAATTTTATCATTGCAATCAAATAACTATCTACTTAACATATGTTTATTTTTTGTCAAAAATGACGTGTATTGACTATTTCCGTTCTAAATATCTTGAGAACCGATTTTTGCCAAGAGATATTTTTTACGTAAAGTCACGGAAACGTATATTTTTTCACTCAGTAGTTTTATACAGGTACGGACGAAAAGTTATTACTTTTCAAATGAGTTAAAACACATGTAGGTGGCGCCCTCTATAAATGGGAGTCATA